TACAATGACAATGTTGGCTTATCACTACTGTTTTCATTTAAATCATATAAACAATCTCAAAGCTTCACATTTTCTTTTTTATTTCCTTGTAATAATCCAACTATCAGAGTAGATATGGTGACAAAACTGCAACCTGTAATAGAGTACAATTCATCATCAACAGACAGGAAATGGTTTTAACTCTGTTTGAGAAGATTTACCTCGTGCAAGCAGAATCTTGCCTCAAAAACCTTCATCTTCATAAGATTCCGCAGATTCTCTAAGAATTACAGGACAAGACAAAAGCATTAACGACGAGGCGTCTAGTGACCTGAGCACAATCAGAAATGTAAACACAGTGAGCCTTTCGCACCTCCTGAACGTATAGGGGTGTGATTCAAGATGAAGTGGACAATCCTTATCCTGAAACAAAGACACGGGTCACTTATAAAGTTAAACTTGCTGCTGAAGATTGTAAAAACATAATTATTTCAGGCAAATGAGTAGCCTTAATGTTTAATAGAAGAAAGGCTGAGCGTAGACATCATTTAGAGTGTACCATCTTTACAAGCATACAGACAATGAAATACCACCTGGGATTGTGTGAAATGTGACATACGCAGCAACATGTGTTACCTGGTGCTGAGCGGTACAATGTTCTGATCCGAGCTCCAGTTACAAGCATCCGACACTTTGAGCAGATACCTGTACTTCTCAAATATTTCTTTGGGCGCTTGAATCCCGTAAAAGACCAGATCATCGTCTATAATTTTCTAACAGGAAAGACACAAATCAAGAAGGGTGAATGAACCATGCTGACTCAGCCTATGATTGAAGACACTTCTTTTTTTTCTTGGAATGCTTACAGTGACTTTCAAGTTCTTCCTTTTCAGCTCTTCAATATATTCAGTTTGTTTCCTGAACGCCTCTCTCTGCTGGCAATCGATAGTTTTTGCAACTAGGACATAGTCGTACGAGAGAGGAGTGTGCTGCGTGACAAAATAAAATATTCTAGAGTTACACTTCATGTTATTATATGTATCAAAACTAATCTGGGAATTAAGATGTTCCGGTCTGGTTATTATATTAGAACGTCATAAAGTGGAAAGATTTTTAGTTACCACAGGAGGAAGTGATGTCTGGTCATTTCCATTTTCTTTCACCACTCCCATAAATTCCAGAAGTTCGATACTGGGCTGGAAGACAAAGATTGTTAAATAATACAAAGTCATTTATGGCAAATTTACACACTATGAATGAATGATTACATTTGATATTAATATTTCAACCTTCAATGAACGGGCTGTATAATGGTTTAATTGTGAGTAATTGTTGTGCTCTCATCAATCCACAGATATGTAATGTGATGCTAGGGAAAATGTGAAGAAAGGTCATCAGCTACTTAAGAATCCAGTCAAACTGTGATGTGGGGGTGTGTCACTGAAACGCCACTGTGCTGAGAAAAACCTGAGGAGATCCTGACTCACCGAGGAGGACTGTCAACAAAGAGGGTTCACCTAACCAGTGAGGGGACAGCTAAGCATTTTTGACCTGCCCTCACCATCATGTCAATCTGTGCTATTCACTTACAGACCGCACATGCTTATAGGGAAGGCGAGGTAGAGCTTGTCATACCATATACATCCCATTAAATCCTAATCAAATCTCAGCTTTACAATGAAGTCCAGTCTAGATTGAGATTGGTGGGTGAGTGGGGCTTGTAGCTTCTATGGGAGATGTTTAGTCTGACAGGTGCAGGATTGGCTGTTAAAGACAGCAGGCCTATATGACAACATTGTAAATGTATAAAAGCAGGAGCTGACCTCAGATCAGCTCATGTATGTTTGAATATAAGTACAAGGTAACTTACCTGCCTCCTGTGGACGGGCATGATGAGTGGGGGCTGAATGCAGATGCAGAAGGCTTCCTCTCTGGATTCAACCAAAAGAAAAATCTCGGCAGCATTAAATGATTCACAAACCTCGCGGTAAATTCACCGACACTCCCGGCTGTAAAACGACATGATGGCTCTATAGAGAGGCGTTTGACAACTTCCGTACTTCCACTGGGAACAAACGTGTTCTTGTATCACTAGCTTAGGAATGTAAAAGCAACTCTACCTGTTGCTGGTGTCACAACATTTATCCTTGTAGCCTCCACCTTTTTTTTTTTTTTTTAACTCAGTTCAGCGTTGCTGTCAATAAACACACACACACACACACACACATACAAACACACACCAAAAGGCTCTGCTTTTGGTTTCAGTCGCCGCACCGCACACAGAAAGAGACCAGGCTATCTCAGTATGGCTTGTAAGGTGCAATGGAATGGCATGTCGTTACCTCCCTCCTCGGAGATGCTTCATTTTTCCACCGCTAGATGGCAGCAAACACAGGGGACTTAATAAATCACTGTGACTGAATCATCCTGCACACCTCAATTTTCACTGACTGGGTCATTTGTCTGAAACACTGAGTCATGAAATTACAGTTTAAACATATCTCCAGGTCCATAATGGAGGTACTGGGGACGGTTATCAAAATTCAGAGGCTTTACCAAACCAACTAGAAAAAACAAGAGAAAATAAAGGCTGCTCAATTTAAACATTTCAATTCTCCAATATGTTAGACCTAGTGAAATTTTAAGAGGCCAGTTAGTTCGATGACCCAGGTCTAACTTCTCTATTAGAATAGCAAAAGAACAAATAAGGAATATGATTCAATTGAAGTTTGATTGAAATATATTTATTTTAATTATTGTGGATGTGAAGATAAGATGAATATGTGTACTTGTAATTTTGTTATCATTTGACTTATTAGTCTATCTTTATTAAAGGCTGCTCAGTCTACTTTTAAGTGAAGGCTTTTTATTTTAAAAGTTTGTGTCGTGCAACTGTCAGAGGTGCTGCTTGTCACCAGGCGAGGCAGGCAACTGCTCGAGGCCCCAGACCAGTGAAGGGCCCCTGAGGGCTCACAAACTTTAAACCACAGCGTCCGCCCAAAATGTGCAAATTTTGCAATGACAGTAGTAAACCTCCTTAAGGGGGCCCCCATCTGACAGCACTCACTCTCGTTGCTTTGCTGAGCTGAGCGTTGCATTCATTACTGCTGTCAATATGTCATAGGTTTGTCAATGAAAGTTAACAAAGGAGAATTTCGAGGAGCTATCCGCTCACAGGAGAGAAAACAGAAAGAGGAAGAAAGAGGAAGCGGAGTAAGGAAGTGGGACACTGGCAGACGTAATGGTGATAAAAGCAGATCTTATTAGTGTCCCCCCAAATATGTCTTGCCTTGGGCCCCAACAGACTCTAGAATCGCCATTGTCAATTGTTTTAGGAGATTTCCATGTTTCTCAAATTTGCTTGAAATTTGTATCTGCCTGCTTGATTTTTTTAGGTTATAATTTATTTTTATTTTTAAATGTCTTACATGTGATTCCCATTTCAGGGTCCATTAAACCTTTTTGTGTACCATCCTTTCTCTTTGACTGTAAAAAAAAAAAAAAAGAAAAAAAAAGAAGAAGAAAGAAAACTGCATGTCAAATGGGTGGCCCTGAGTGCCCTGTTATTAGAGATGATTTAACCATTAGCCTTCTTGGAAAACCTTGGAAAGTAGTGCACACCCAGGAAGACCCACATGTCAAGGAGGAGAGGCGATATGAGGCTGAAGAAAAAAGTGGTCGCAAAATAAGCAGCTGTATTTCTGTACATGGCCACACCCCACAGAGGAGGATAACATAATTACAGCAGAACAGGGCTGTGCCAACCACTTCAAGAGCGGCAGAGGGGGAACCCGGCTACTAAATTTGACCAGAGACGAAGTACAGGCTGGAGAGAGGGCTGGGAGGATATAGGAGCTTCTTATAAAGCCTTGTCTGAAGTTTCTATCAAAGTGGGAACAGACAGACAGACGTGTGAATGACAAAAAACTTAAACTAATAACATCTGAGTGACCAACAGTTCACCAGAGTCCACAGTCCTTGAAAAGGGCTCTTCAGTGAAGAACTGAATTTATATTTTAGTAAGGACAATCACAGTCATAGCTGAAAAAGATCAGCCAGGGTTCAGTCTCAAATTATAATGGAAATAGACTTTTCTCTTGAAATGTTTCAACATAATGTCAGAAAATAGTAGCCTATATTGTGTGATCTTTGATATGAAACAGTTTTGGAAAGGCAAGCGTTAAGGCCTCTGTGGCTGGTTGTGAGGACTTCCTTAAAGCAATCAGTCTGGGCATTTTGCTAAACAAATTGTATTTATACCTGAGCAAATACATTACCCAAAAGTACATAGTAACAGGATATGAAACTCAACCTAGAACTCAGTTCCTCGTAGACTCTTGTCTTTGTTTAGTGTAGTCTAATTTGTATAATAACAAACTACAGTATATGACATTGATTGCTGATGATCACATGGTCTTGTTACTTTTTATTGACTTTTTGTTTGGTTCCACTTCCCAGTTTTTCCCATCTTCATGACTAGAAAAATACCCAATTTTAAACATCGTTGCAAATATAGCCTAGAAAAATCTATCTTTTTTTTTAGGCACGCTATTTAAAAAAAAAAAAAAACTCATTTATTTTCATTGTCAAGTCATCATATCATAAAACCTATAAGGAAGAAAATTGTGGTCTCTGATTGGCTGGCAATATCAATCAAGTTCTGTTGGTAACCATGGTAACATAGCACTCAAAAGCACTTCCCTTTTTTGAGGGGAAAAAATAAACCTGCTTGGTTGAACTGACTTTCCATTAATATTGAAATATTTTTTTACACTAAATTCTTGGTAAACTGGAATATGCCTACATAAGTTTTAGAGTAGGCGACGCTCATATTTTTATATATATATATATATTTATATATATTTATTATTTGCTGAAAAGTTTGGCCGGCGTGTGCGTGTCAGCGTGAGTGTTTAGGTTTTACGTGAGCGACAAGTAGACATTGGAGAAAAGTATCTGTCCCTCAGCCAGCTTCACACTATTGGCTTGTGGTGTTGGAGCCACTCCCTCTCGAGCCTGCCTCTGTGGCAGAAGTGATGCAGCAGTCAGCAGCGGTCAGTGGGTGTAGGGGGGCAGTCCCAGTCTGGCAAGACGCTTAGTTCCCTAACCAAAGGCGTCTCTGAACCGCTCGAGAAGGCAGCAACACAGGTCTTCTGGCTGAGGATATACTGTGCACATGAGGACCGATAACTTGGGTGTAGGGACTCAACATGCACCGAATAACGGGAAGGACAGGAGGGGACAGTTTAATTGAGATGAGCCCAACAGATTCTGTCAGTGGTAAGTAGTTAAAAGCTGGAGCTGCCTTCACTACAGACTTAGAAAATACATAATGACGTGTGAGGTCTTGTATGACAACCTACTGGGAAACAAATTAAGACTAAAACGAGTTTGGTAAATGCCTTAATGCCTGTATGAAGGCTATAGCGTTCAGAAAAGCTACTTATAAATGTCAGATTTAATGATTTTTTTTAACATACAGTATCCTAAAATTAAAATATTTTACCAGTTTATAGTAGTAGTGTGAATAGCTTACATGAACTGAAACTTTCTAACAACCATACCCACATATTATAACCATAACGTCCTGCTAAGGTAAACATTAGACATACAAAAATATACAGTTGTCGGCAAGTCTTTCTGGGACTACAGGCAAATTACAGTAATTACTATGCTAGGAACAACAAGATTAACCCCCTTCCCCCATGTACACTACATTGTAAGACTCTGAAAAGACATTTCTTTAACTATTTTAAAAAGGGAACCACCCTGCACCCCATTCACGATATTACCAGCTCACAGTCTAACTTTCTTTTCCATGAAAGCAGCAGTGACCCTACAGCCAGCCAGTCTCTGACAGCTGGCCTGCTTACTGGAAACACTCTGTCACCAGCAGACAGCCACTTTATCCACCAGCACAAACCCCAAATCCCTCTTTGATTTTGGCTGAACATAAATTTTAAACAAACACTCAGGCACAAGACTGGGTTTTAGCCATTTATGGTGTTGCTGAAAGAAGAATGAGTCACACTGGATGCTCTCCAGTTACACTGGTATTTGTCAAGTTGATGTAAAAGTGTTGTATTTTATCTGCAGGATCATGCTCTGTTACTGTTACCTTGGTGTTTGTGTGTTTATGGTGTGTTGAGATAACAGTGTTTTCCTTTAATCATACTCACAGCTCCATCTCAATGATACCCCAAATTTTGTTCATTTTAATTTAGAGGACGAGAGATTCTACAACGGTGACTCTTTTTTTTAAACTTAGATTGTTGTATTCCATCATATGACAGAGGGCAGGCTAAATTGATTTTTTTGTGTGGAGGAGAAATACATCCAAGTACTTTTGTTACTTCTGCATATCTCCAGGCGGCTATAGCTGAGGGTCTCACAGTTCGCTTACAACTCTGTGTGCTTTTTGTGCCACAATGAAGCTGAACATACTGTATGACTATCCAACTATTAGGGGTTGTAGTTTGACCGCACAGATTAGAACTAAGTAGCCTTGATGCTTGTTGTTCCATTAGTGTTCACCATCCATGTAAATATTGTATTACTTACTACCGCCTTGTTTTGATGGGGGAATTTGCTGGTTAAGGTGTGTATATATAAGGGAAGAGGCAATACATAGAGAAAAGATTTAATGTAAACAAGCAATGCTTTCTTACTCAGCGTGCATACATTTTATCTGACTCAAGTTAACTTTCAGATACCCATAGATACATTTGTGCCAATTTAGTGGTGCGGGGAAAAGCAGCAGTTTTTTGGATTTGTTTTGAATTCAGGCAGGACATAAACACAGACTGCATGTTCAACGTGAAGAACAACAGATAGACAGTAAAAATGTGAGTTAAGGCTTATATGCTCTCTTTGATATTGTTAATATTGTTAATCTATTGAACTATTGTCATCACAATATTGAAAAACGCAAACACACATTTCATATTTTTTTTTTTACATCACTCAGGCCGTGTGTATATGCATGCATGTACCTGAAACTTGCAACTGTAAATAGAACAGAAAGTGTGGCTTCTACTTACAGGAAATCAGACAAACCCACCCACTGCTTTTCAGTAGTAAGGCTGTTGGCGTTCTTTTAACAGCTTTTCCAGGTGGCAGTTGCAACAATGAACAACTACAGATACACAACTTAATTCAGCCATACATATACTAAAAAGTAGTAGTAGCTTGTAGTAGTGTCATGTCTGTTTTATTTGAATAAACCAGAGTCTGAGGATTTTTCTTTCATAGTCAGTATGGCTTTTTACTGACTGTAATGATGGTTAGTCTCTTGTGCCTGTTTGATTTCTGTGATACAATGAGGCAGAAGCAGTCTTGTGGCATTTCCTCTGTGATCAGCTGCTCTCTGTTGAACAAAGACTCAACTGTGGAGGCTTCATAGCTGGCAGAATGTTGGGCTGAGAGGTTAACACTGAGTGATGCGTCACGGTGTCCTACTGTGCAAAAATATGATCAGCTGTTGATTCTGTGAAAGAATTATATTTTGGGACAAGCCAAAATCAAAGTCAGTATCATGATTATTTTTTTCAATTGAGATAAAAAATTTTTTTAAAAAAGTGATCTCAAATAATTCAAAGACACCATTAAACTCTAGCCTGAAAGAGTCATGAGTTTTGTAGCTTTAGGTCAAAATCTCATGTAAATTGTACTGGTAATGCTGAAGAAAATTCAACTTGTTACAGTTCGAGGGTAACATCCCTTATTAAACTTCCACATCTTGCCATATCTTGAAGGTGCAACGTTACAATAATATGCTTTGTAGCTAATTTGTATTATTTTATTTTAGTTGTTCAATGTTAGTGTAGGAAGGAATTATAATGTGTTTAATCATTTAGGTTAAGCAAAAAAAAACTGATATAATTAAAAAATGTTTGCCATGGGAAAGCTGCAAATGTGCAGTGCTGTTGGTTCGCTCTATAGAGGATCTATTATAATACTGTTTAGAAAGAGAGAAAGTTTAACATAATACAAGGTTCGAACGCTTGTTTAAGGCCAGTGTTCTGTAAGCACATGTTCTGTGTTGCGTCCTAACTAAATATAACCTCAGAGAGACCATCAATTAGGGTGGCTGTACTTCTATTTAAAAACCCAGAGGCTGCAACCCTCTTTCTGTGTATTGTTTTTGGCATGAGTGTTTCCATCAGTACTTGTTGTCTGTCTTGCTTTGCCGTCGGCCCTGCCATTTGATTATGTAAATCTTGTTTCTTAAAAGGCCGTCAGGAATGATGCACAAAACCAATTCTAACCTTCAGTTTTCCTACAGTACTGTAAACATGGCAGCAGGAAGTTCATTGTGTACAAGTCAAATGCTTGATTTAGACACATCACACAGTCAACTTTCACTTTCAGACACGTGGGGGGGTTATCAGACCCCTCAGTCTCATTTCCTGCTGTGAAGTGATTGAATCAAGCAAAGAAACATGGCCGTATGTATTCTGTCTCAGGGATCCTGTTAAGTCATGCTGGCTGGCATGTGAGAGTGCAAACATAAAATGTTGCACAGATAGATTACAACATTAGCTCTAGTAACCATGTCAGGCAGCCGTTTAAAGGCCTGAAATTGAACTTTCCTGCCACCCACCAACACTTCAAAAATTCATTGTGCTACTTAAATACTTCCATAAACAAACACGTGTAGTTAATATTTTCAATTCAATGTTCCCTATGTTTCTGTGTTGCAGATGATATGAATGGCTACCACCAACAAGCCTCGTCCAGCTCAGGATCCCTCCAGCAGGGACAATCAGCGGAGGTAAACACCAAATCCACAACATGCTATGATAATCACCTGTCACCATCCCAAGAAGTATTGTCATTTTTTCCTGTTGCTTAGAATGGTTGCACAAAACAAATTCTAACCCTCAGTTTTCCTACAGTACTGTAAACATGGTAGCAGGAAGTTCATTGTGTACAAGTCACATGCTTGATTTATATTTCCCTCTGATTTTCCTATTTAATTAACAGTCAACATGGCAGGAGAGTTTAGCTTCTGGATTCTAGCTGAGCACAAGCTCACAGTCTCAGTTTTAAACGAACATCAGTCTTTCCAATGTAATAGTAACCATTTACAGCATGTCAGTTTCATGAGAGAGTTGCGGATAACTTTCATGCTCCTGTCTGTTCTCCCTCTTTCACACTTGAAGTCTCCTTTAACGCCTGATGTGTGTGTAGAGACCTGTGAGTCTCTACACGCCAGCCTTGCCTCCCTGACCCCCTCCGACCACAGCGACAATCCGCATATTGAGACTCAGACCTTAGAGCATATCAATTCTTTGACTGGGGTAAGACACCAGTCGAGGACACAGATGCATGCTGGTGTGTTAGTGTCTGTGTGTTTTTGTCATAGTATTCAAAGCTACAGTATGAGTGAGAAAGACCAGGCTGTGTTTATGCCTGACACATAACATGTTCAAAGTGTCATGAGCATTATCTTTAACAATGTTCAAACATAGTGCAAGTGTTGAATGTCGGACATTTCTATCATGTTCTCTGTAAGACTGCGGCTATAAAGTTTTTTTTAGGCTTTCCCTCACTATACACTCGGTTCCTCCACAGCTGTCGAGAAAGCGGGCGCTTTTCCTGAAGTTTCGTTCCAGGGTACGGCATGGTAAAACAGGCTTGTGATGTGATGCAACTTTCTGCATATAATTTGTCTGCCTGGCTTTACTGTGTCAAGTCTTGAGAAGTCTTGTTGGTGTTGGGTTTCTCAGTCGGTATAGATATGCAGAGAAAAGCTTTGACAGCTGAGATGAAATCAATACACATTTCTTTTGTAGAGAGCTGATGGTGGCTTCAGAATAGCATGTTTTTTTTTTTTTAGTATTCCACAGAGTAATGGAAACACAGCAGCATGAGCTGTGTGTGGAGGCATCATGAGAGTTCATTAAAGCTGGAAAAGGCCCTTAACTTGCTTTGTTCTCACCTGTGATATGTGTCCGCTTCACTGGAGAGAAATCAACAATCTCTTCGTAGTAGAGTCACAGCATAATTAGAAGTCCACACTTACACATGTAGTCTTTGACACAGACTTTAAACTCTATTTATCTGCCAAGCTGTTTTTATGTATTTTACGTCTCTGTCTTTTTAAGTGTTTACAGTCAATGCTGTAATCAGGACCCAGCGCCATGCTCGTGACCTTGTTGTTTCTGAACATGTCATGTACTGAAGGCTTCTATTTCTCCTCTAAAATCTGGTCTTTCTGAAACATTAGAACAGCAGCTTTTCTTTAGGAACCAAACTAAAGACAGCAACATTTTAGTTGAGTGTAAAATCATATCATATAAGTTTTAGAGGGGAGGCAGCTGCACATCTATAAGTTACATCTGTAATGAAGAATAAAGACATGCTATTGCATGTTGGAAAAGTATGGATGCTCCAATATTGAGAATGTGGATTAAGGAACTTTTTAGAGTGTACATATTGGTTTGGAGAGACTTACTTACATCGCTAAAGGCAAGCAAAGAGGCTTTGTCCAGCTCTGGGAACCATATATGAACATTATAGAAGCCAGGAATATAGGCTTCACCTGAACAGAGATTATAAAAGAGAAGAGAATATTGTATTTTACTTGTTTTATTACTTGATTGCATTTTATTTTTTATCCAAAAAATGTATGCAAGTTGAGTGTGAGTATCTACGTTTGTGTAGTTATTGGATACATTTATGTGTTCAAGGTCTCAGACTGTTTAATTTTTACTGTATGTTTCCTTTGTGTTTCTAAAAAAAAAAAGAAATGCCAAAGAAGAATAAAGACATGAATGTGTTTAGCCCTCTTGTTACTGGAAGTTTAAGCTATAAGTCTTCAGTTGTCAATGTGAACTTTAAGAGAAGCTAACTGAACCACAAACAACTTTCAGGAAATCTTAGAATTACAGTATTTATATTTCCTTTTTCAGCTCTGAACAGAATTATAACTTTGAAGTCTACAATGGAATAAAACTAGGATATAATCAGGGCATACAGAAGCAGCCATTTACTCAATTATGACAACATTATAAATCTGTTCGATAACAAAAATGAAACAAGGTAAATGTTATTTAAGTATAAAAAAAGTAATGGTTTAAAACAGAGGTGTGTCAGGAGCGTTGTAGGGTGAAAGGAGGATTCTGCATTATGATATGGTCGCTGTGATGTATTTAAATCAAAGTGGTAACCATTTCTATTTCAAACTCTTCTAGCTCAAAAAAAGAAAAGCTTTGGAGGTACTACTTTAAAGAAACCTCTCCCTGAAGCTGGTAGCCCATTTATCTTACACCATGTTTTACATTTACCCCCCTCAATTAAGATAAAAGACATGTATGTCCAAACACCCAGTAGTTAGGGGTTGGTTGGTAAACGTATAGAACCTTGTGGCTCTACGAGCTCTGGCAGAGGCACTGATTCCATACAGCTGATCTGTAATTACAGAAAATTAGAGAGTCTCTGCAACAACGTCCCAGTTTAAGAAAGCATCCACCCTGCCATAGTCAACATGATCCACTGTAGACTTTGAGGCAATGTAGTCCAGAGGTAAACCAGTATGTATTCATTTTGATAGGTTGAACACATAAACACGAATGTCTCTAGAAGTTTGGTGCAGCAGATGGCAGGCCACTGGCTTTGTAGATTTGTGCAACATGACAAAACTTAACATTGCATCCCAATTTGCTCTTTGAATATTGCTGTGGTCCCCAGAATGTTTGATTGATTAGTTCAGAGTAGTCAGTCAGAATGTGGAGATTATTCCCCGTGCAGTTATCAGTTTTTGTTGTCTGGAGTTTGGCCTTATCAGAGCAGATATTGGCAAGTGATGTGCTGTTTTTTTTAATCTGATATATCAAAAGACGTGCGTCAGGGACTGTTGTTGTTAATCTGGGGATGGTCAGTGATGTCACCTCCGTTCTCTGATGCTGTGCTCTTCATTACATTAGCAAGCTAGCTCCTCTACTTTACTCCTAGTACCACTCCTCCTCTCTCTGTCTCTAACTCTCCCTTCTCTGGATATCTGAGCGAGCGAGGGCTTGTCCTGGGAAGTGAGTGGAGTGGATGGAGCTCCTCCAGCCCGGGGGGATCAGTGGAGCGAGAGAGAGAGAAGCTTTGCTTTCAGGGCCCGACGCTTCACCCCCCCCACCCCCGCCGGAGAAAGACAATTTTGCTCTCTAAGGCTGTGGGCACTTCGGCTGATGCATCATAACAGTAAAGGGAGCGGGCCATGGAGGTAAAGTGCTGCTTCCTTTCCTGCCTAATCACACAGTGTTGGGCTGATGGAACGGGCAGACTCCTTCAGGACTACAGTCCAGCAGCCATGTGATGTGAGGCTGAGCACCATGTTGTAGTTTTTGTGATGCTTTATGTCTGAGTTCTCTGCATTGTCTGCAGTCTTGTGTAGCAACCGTTGTGATATGTGTAGACAGGGGTTACTGGCACATGGTTATTTTTAGCTTTCTGAGCAGCTGAAGCAGCAACATGAAGCAGTCATGCCCTCCTCTCCTCCCTTAAAGCATTCCTCTGCAGTGGAGCAGTCTTTAGCCATGTAACTAAGTGCTTAAGGGACTGCCCTGGAAGGCTAGTTTTTGCTGAAACACGCATGCTTGGAATTTCTTTGGCCACCACACGGCGTTTCAAGACACTGGATTCCCGGATTTACAGAAAAGCAAAAGCAAATACTATTCTGTGAGGCCTGATAAGACCTGTGTTTTTAACTGAGTAGTACTATCCACATGTTTTTTCTATAATACTTAACCTGTTTTGTTTAATTAGAAGTCAAATGCCTGGAAATCAGAGCTCTCACAGGATTATGGGAATATTTCTGGATTTCAGTCTGTGATTTAACAAGGATTTCTAAATTCTTTTCTTAAAGGGACATGAAATATTTTAAGTCAGAGCCGATGCCTTTCATATGTTGTGCTGCCTGTGTTTGGAGTGATAGTATGATAATCAGTATCTCTGTGTTTGATGTGGGTTGGAGGCCTTGTTCCTTGGGTGTGCTGTTAGCCACTGACACATAGCTTGACTGTCTGCTGGCCTGCTGTGGTGGAAACATCCTAAGACTGATGCTATACTGTATGTGTCTGTTTAAATGCTGCTATGTTTCTTTTTAGATTGACAAACAACAACAGAGTAAAGACTCTGTGTTCTTCCGGGATGGATTGCGTAGGATTGACTTTGTCCTGTCCTATGTTGACGACAAAGATGGGGAGAGGAAACAGGTAAGGCTAACAACTTCTAGTACTGTTTATACTAAATTAGATCCATTTCCGTAGATGACTCACTGCATGCAAATGTTCAAGACTGAATGTCTCCAATGAGGCACCCTTAATTTAAAGAACACGATGCATGACAGATAAAAAGACAAAGCAGTTGTCATAGTTGAGAGCAAAATATAAACATAAAAAGAAAGTGTTTTCTGTGTTGTTAAGTATAACAAAGTGTTTAAGAAGGGCAATATTTGCTTGAGTACTGGCAAGTGTTTCTCTTTTTCATTAATATCACTGTTGTTATTGTTTTATTTCTGAAGAGCAGAACTACAGATGTATTGTTTCACAGCTCACTGTTTTGAAATCCCAGAATATCCCATAAAATAAGTTGTGTTATTTCCTCTTCTTGATTGAAACAGTAAGAGCTGTTTGTTACAGGAAATCCTCAGAGCTCACTGTGTGTGTCAGCAGCATATTCTAGATACCACAACACTGATAAAGCTATACAAACGGTTTTTCCTTGCTTGTATCAGTAATCCTCTCAAGGGATTTTCTGAGAAGGTCACATCTAGAGATGAACTTGCATCCCTATTTTCTTAAATAAATTACATTAAAGGTATTTTAAAACTGTTTTAGGCCTCATGTGGCTTGTTTCTCTGTCAGCTGTGTGCTACTGAAAGGCTTCAGTGTTTGATGCTAAGCTGTTATACTTCACATCCATGTGTCACCAGCCTTCTTGTATGAGGATCTTAGTCTCAGCAGACTCACATTTTACTAACAGTCTTGTCAGTGAGTCAACCGACAGACCTCTGGCCTAGTCAGGAAGTCGCTCATTTTTTCCACTGGATGAGGAAGAGCAACAGGAGGCCAGTTCCTGTGTATTGTCCACGTGTTGTAAATTTCAGCTCTAACAAGGGGGGACTGTTTTTTAGATGACATGGGTGATTATTATTATTTTTTTGAGCCTGTTTCCAAACACCTTTTACCTTGATCAAAGAATAATTTGGTAACATTACACCATATTATGTCACTACCCTAAGTTAAGGAGTTACTATTCCCCTTTTCCTGTTATATCATATTAATAAATATATTAATATTTTCTTTGTTTTTTTTCTGTAGGAACGGAGAGGGTGTATGAGTCAAATCTTGAAAATGTGGGCCTGGAGCTGGAGACAGAAGATAAGACAGTAAGAGCCTCCAGATGTTGTTTGTTTATGAAAAAGAAAAAGTGGCACAAAAAGAATGGCCGTATATTTATGTGTATGTCTGTGATCTGTTGCTGCTTTTAAGTGCTTTTTTTACATTCTTCTTGTTTTAAGAAGAAAAAAAAAGTTGAACAATATACAGTAAACTTGCTCAATAGTTATCTGTGATGCATAAAAAGACATTTCTCTGGGGTTCCTACTTGATCAGTAAATTTGTGTTTAGGCGTATTAATCTGTAGCCCTTATCTTATGTAGTGCCACCTGTCTGATTGTCTTTAGGAGTCGGAAGATGGAAAGACCTATTTTGTGAAGATCCACGCTCCGTGGGAAGTGTTAGCAACCTACGCAGATGTGCTGAAGATAAAGGTCCCATTTAAGGCCAACGACATCCCAGACAACAGCGAGATGCCCATGAACTGGCTGTCCACCCCTTTCCGCCTGCCAGAGCACATCATGCACCCTGAGCCAGATTATTTCACAGCTCCATTCAACAAGAGCAAGTCTGACTTCTTCCTGATCGACAACAAGGACACTTTCTTTCCCCCTTCTACTCGAAACAGGATAGTAAGGATGTTTAGGCCTCAACTTTCTCATCTTTTTGTGCCCTTCAAATTACATAACCCACTTTGCAGTCTGCAGTTTTCTACTCATGTGTCACATTTTAGATAAGGCATATTTAAATCCAATGTCAAGATTTAAGAGTTTATGTTTCTTAAAACCTTAATGTCCTCTCATTTTTCTCCCTGCACAGGTCTACTACATCTTGTCCCGCTGTTATTACATCAGCAATGAATGTGCAGAAAAAGACAAAAAGGGAATCAAGAGGTTACTCAACAATGGCACCTACTCTGCTGCCTTCGCGCTACATGACGTAAGCCTCATTTTTAAAAAGTTTTTTTAAATTAAGATACCGTGTCATCAATGTGCATTCATTGCTTTCCAGCACTTACATACTGTTTGACGTTGGTTGTGTTTTGCTTTTCACGGATTGTTTATTTTGCAATAAATGGAAAGTGGTTGTGAAGTGTGTCTTCTTTGTGTGTGCAGTGTAGATACTGGAAAAAATCAAGGGATGCAAACTGCGAAAGTGAGAGATTCAACCTCTACAAATACTGGGCTGGATTCGGCTCGTTCTTCAAGGAGCAGCCCCTCAATCTCATAAGGTAAGACTTGAAAAACAGGGAGTAAAATATCAAATGTGTATTGACTCCACATAAATCTGGTATCAGAGGAACTTAGAGAACACGATTTTTCTTTCAACAGGAAATATTATGGGGAGAAGATAGGTATTTATTTTGCCTGGCTGGGTTTCTACACTGAGATGTTGTTGTTTGCTGCTATAGTTGGGACAATTTGTTTCGTCTATGGAGTCCTCACCTACGATAAAAATGAGTGGAGGTAATTTTTTCCAAAATTACTCGCCTGTCTAGTTAGGTTTTGGAAATATGCAATTTTTTTATTTCTGGCATTGCTGTTCTTTTAATAAAAAATAATTATTGTCTTACAGTGAAGAAATATGTAGTGAGAAAATCGGAGGTGAAATTGTCATGTGCCCGCTGTGTGACAAGAAATGTGGCTATTGGAAACTCAACGCAACATGCAACTCCTCATGGGTAAAACATCCTGGCTCTAGGTTTTCTATTATTATGATTCATATGGTTCCAACTTTATGTGAGATTTAAAGCACAGTTGGTGCTAAATGTAAATAAATCCCATGTTTTTTAATCTATTTTTTTCTCAAATATGTCCTTCTTTCAGCAATCAAACCTGTTTGACAATGTAGGAACTGTGTTCTTTGCCATATTTATGGGGATTTGGGGTGAGTAAAAATGTCTACTCTAAGCTTTCAGTTTTTTTTATACCAGTGCTCCACCTTGTGGTCAATTCTGAACTGTTCCAACTAATTAAAAAAAATCATGAGACCATGAGAAAGTATGACCTAGTTCACTTGCTAAATAGTTTGATAAACAATACACTTCTGCCTCAACACCTACATGATAGACGTAAAAGAGGCTGAAAGCATTGAATACTTACACTTGGTGGTTGGTTGCTCTACAGTGACGCTGTTTCTGGAGTTCTGGAAGAGACGGCAGGCTCGTCTGGAATATGAGTGGGATCTGGTTGACTTTGAGGAGGAGCAACAGCAGCTTCAGCTTCGACCAGAGTACGAGACCAAGTGCACCAACCGCAAGCTGAACCGCATCACACAGGTGTTTGAGTGCTCATGATATCTAATATATTGTATATAGACTTGAAAATATTACAGTATCTGTTACATTTATTGGATAGAGCCTCACACTGGCTCACAGCCATTTATAACGGCAGTTCCTGAACTAAAAAAAAATGTTGAGAGCATTAGTAAGTGAAATATACAGGCACAGACTTGTTGTAATTTGCTTTGACCACATCCCACCCATCTGTAGGAAATGGAGTTGATTCTTGAAAGGACTCCTACAAATCTAATGGGGAAATTGTTTGTGTGCTGGGCCACCGTGCTACTCTGGGTAAGGGTAGCACTTTACGAGGAATGTCAAATTGAGGAGGACGAGGTTTCGGTGTGGTTCAGTTTGTGTAAGATAACAGACCTTTCTGGAAAGACTCAGAGGCATGAGTTTCCTCCTGTGGCACATTACTGTTTGTCTGGCCGCTCGACATCTTGTGAGGTTTTTCCAAAAGCATGACTTCACCAGGAGACTGCTTGGTGAAAGAATTGGATTGTGGTTGAAACGCGTACACAAAACAAAACTGCCATTGGGTGATCTAGCTCTGCCTCCGAGACCAGCGGTGTTAAAGGAGCCAGGCCTTTCACAGACGTCTTTTCAGGATATAACAAAGGGTGACTTACTCCCATGTCCATGCTTTGCTTGCGTATGATTTAGGAAATGGAGCCCTACTTACCCATAACAACCCAGTGTGCACGCACATGTCTGTCTGGAGCCACCGTCCTATTCTGGGTGAGCATAGTATCTTTGGCATACTTGGTGAATCTATACCTGTTCATGACACTGTCCATCATCATCATCATTCAATCATGTGAATAGAGATGTTCTGATACCTATGGTAGTATCAGAAATGCTTCTGATAGTGGCTGAAGGGCAGCATCAGTTATTTGTAAGTACACATGTCAATCCTTGATCCAAAAATAAAATGTATTAGCTTCTATAATTATCTAATCTTTCTTCTTCTCAAAAGCAGTAGCCCATACAGCAAGGATATTGATTATTGCCTAATTATTATATTATTATAGTGTTTTAGTTGGGCAAACAATTGATTTGAGGTTAATTATAAAAAAACAACAGTGCCAGGCCAGCATAGAGTGCAACATCAGTCAAACTGTCAGCAATCTGTTTCTTCTTATCTCACGTTTTAATCAAGTATTTTTTAATACAAGGATCAGATAAATAAAGGAGTTGGTTATCAGAAGGGAAGAAAGTGGTATCAGGACATCTCTGCATGTGATCAGAGCCAGTATATATAAAACTGTGAGCTGTTGGGGGTTGAGACAAAGCCTTAACTATCTAAAAGATTACACAGAGAAAATTGGGCAAAACTGTGTAATTCTGAAAATCCTTATCCCTTTAAGATCAAAGTTTTACAGCTTTTTATACATACTGACCTTATTTTCATCGCACTTGTGTACTCATGTTTTTAAATAAAACTACAGCTTTGAAATGAGCCTATATGAAGGTTATGGTGGATTTCCTTTAAGTATGTGTGATGTGTGCATACTCCAAGCATGACAACATCTTTTAACATGTTGTGGGCAATAATTCTGCTTGCTTCATTAGTCTGTATGTGTTTGCTGTTTGCACTTTGCATCACACTTGGTGTTCACTGTACTGTTGTCTTGTGACTTGCCGTGTAGTTGTCTTTCATGTTGTCACTCTTGTCTCTGTCCTGAAGATCTCATTGATCATTGCCTGCATCATCGGGGTGATAGCGTACCGCCTGGCGGTATACGCAGCCTTCGCCAGCATCATGAAGGACAGTCCCACCACCAACCTGCAGGTGGTTGGCCATCTCATCACGCCACAGCTGGCCACCTCGGTCACTGCCTCCTGCATCAACTTCATCATCATCATGATCCTCAATCTCATGTATGAGAGAGTGGCTGTTTGGATCACTGACATGGGTGAGGGTCAGACCAGAGAGAAAACCATAGATTTTTACATTGCTCTGTCTTTTCCATTTTGTGTTTCAAGTATTCAATGTTTTTGATTCTATTTGTGTTTGGTCTAAAACATTTCATTATGTTGCAGAAATTCCCAAAACCCACCTTGAGTATGAGAACAAGCTGACAGTGAAGATGTTCCTCTTCCAATTTGTGAACTACTACTCCTCCTGCTTCTACGTCGCGTTCTTTAAGGGCAAATTTGTGGGCCATCCTGGAGATTATGCTTATATGTTTGGCAAGACCAAACTGAGGAATGAAGAGGTACCAGATGCATGAAATCATCTAAGATTAGTAGTGGCTCCTAAAGTAGATACGGAGCTGCCTTTGAACAAATGTATTCGTTCTCTTTCACAGTGTGACCCGGGTGGCTGTTTGATTGAGTTAACCACTCAGCTGGTGATAGTGATGACAGGAAAACAAGTTTGGGGCAACATCCAGGAGGCTCTGGTCCCGTGAGTAGTCCAACTGAAGCGACCATTCAAAGCTAAATCCATCTGCATACATTATTGTTAACTTCACACACTTTAAAGGTTTTACAGCATCACAAAACTCATAGATACATGAACCATTTTCCCCAAAGTTATAGTAAATGTGTAAAGTTATCTCTGCAAACATGAGGAATTCATTTCTTACAGTGAGCTAGCCAAGACATCACTAAGAAAAGCACTGTCAGTTTATTGTGCATCCACCAACCATTACTCATAAGCCTGTGCAGAATTCAGATGTTTAAGAATAACAACAATATTCAGTTAATTTGATTGCTGACTTACCAGCAGGCGTTATCTTAACAATAAAAACAGTGAGAAAGGGACAGGTGTAAACAACAAGATGAATGGTGTCTGAATTCCATTAAGTTTCTTTAGTTTTCAGGGTTCTGGTACAAAAGTATATCAAACAAATCCATCAACAGTTTAATAACATCATCATCTGTGCTTTAAGAACTATGATGGTGAACATGTTTAATGTGCAAAAGGTCTATTTTCAGTCGCTGCTCAATCTTTAGACATGATTGAAGTATCATGTCCATTCATGTCGTTGACTTTTGGAACAAGTTCAATTTGAAATATTTAATGTTGGAAAAAATAAACATATCTTCAGAGTAATAGTGTACAGTTACTTGCAGTCTTTCGTGCCTGTCAGAGGGTGAATTATCTCAGCTCAAAGCTCTTTATTGCCCCCTTGTGGTCTTAGGTGGCTGATGAACTGGTGGGGCAGCAGAAAGGCACGAAGCCACCCAGAGACTCTGTACAGCCGCTGGGAGCAGGACCACGACCTGCAGGGCTTTGGACAGCTGGGTCTCTTCTACGAGTATCTGGAAATGGGTAAATATTCAGTCAAGAGATTCAGAGACAAGCTAGTTATCAGTCAAAACCATTTAAGTGACGTCTAGTTTAGGCCAAGACCGGAGGGGTATACCACAAAGTGAGTTTGTTATACTCAGCCTGTTTTTGAGTAGTCTGCTTAGACAAACCCAGCAGTAGCAGTTAGAGATATCGGGTATCACTAAGCTGGTTATGAACTAATAACTCCAGCTTCCTGCTTCAGGCTCTGAGCATGCAGACGGTTTCAAAATCGATGAATAAAGAACAAGAGTTATTGTGGTATTGAAAACAACACTGCTGCTTCATGAAAGGATGACCCAGAAAATGTTAATTCTTATATCAATTTATTTGTTGACTTTAACAACCTCAGAAACTGTCAGTGCATCCCCAGTCGTGTGAAACGAACTTTGCAGGATATAAAAACTTATCATAATAAACAATACAAAGTTTCTTAAGATGCTGTTCCTTTATTGTTTTGTTACTGTAGTGTTGATCGGTTGAAATTAATACACTTTAAGTGTGAATCTGACATTAAATCAACGAGTGGAGAGAGACTGAGTTAGAATATATAAATCATTAACTGAATACATAGGCTCCATTATGTGATGCACACATTTTGTGTTACTGTAACAACTACAATTCTAAAAGTTTCCATGAATATATTCCTTAGGCTAAGGATATATACTGCGCATGGACAACATTCCAAAGTAATAATTCATAAAAGTACAGTACTTTAAATCCAATTTAAAGTCTCAACTCAGACTCATAACTTCGTCCAGAACAGGTTTAGAGAGAACCCGCTTCGTGACACTGAAAAAACTCTGCACCCCGCAGGCCAAGGGCAAAACTGATACAAATATGGGTAATTAACTACAAAAGTAATTAAGAAAATGTGGAGAATGTAGGAACACAACGTTTATTTAATTTCAGATAAATGAAGTTCCCTGAGATCCTGCATAACGTGTTGTTATTGTCCTGCGGTCTTTGACTGACTTCTCTCTTCTTTCTGTCTCCCAGTGATCCAGTTTGGTTTCATCACCCTGTTTGTGGCCTCCTTCCCCCTTGCACCCCTGATGGCACTCATGAACAACATCATTGAGGTGAGAGTGGATGCCTGGAAACTCACCACACAGTTCAGGCGTCCTGTAGCAGCAAAAGCTCACAGCATTGGAGCCTGGCAGGAGATCCTCAATGGGATGGCTGTCCTCTCTGTCGTCACAAATGTGAGTGCTGGGCTGCATGTGTGCCCTTTGAATCCACTCCTTTTCTAGTTTTGTCTCTCGTTTGTCCTCACACTCTTTCTTCTTCTGCTCTCCAGGCGTTCATTGTGGCCTTCACCTCTGATATGATCCCTCGGCTCGTGTACATGTACGCCTACCAGTCAAAGGAGGAGATGAGTATGAAAGGCTACATAAACAGCAGTCTGTCTGTCTTTAATATCTCTGAGATACCACTGGCCAACAGACCGGAGGATGGGGAGAACCCTCTCTGGTTCAACAACTCCATCACTACCTGCAGGTGTGTGGGATTCTCAGACAGAAACCGATTGCTGATTTAAGCTGGTCACATGTTATGTATGTAAAATCAAAGTAACTAAACGTAGTAAAGTCAAAGTATCCTCTGACCAAAATCAAGTGTCTCATTCAAAGTTTATTCTAGTTTTTCAATACAACATTTATTTATTAAACCCTCATAAACACAACTTAGCTAAACATGATGCACAGACACGTTAAACATTACATAATTTAAGATTTAAATGTGTGTTTAGTAATTTTCAACTGGCTTTAAAATGCAGTTTTTGAATATATTGTCTGTTGTCTGGGGCGTAATACCAGAGCCTCTATTTCTTTGTTTTTCTTTGTCAAATGGACAGAAGACCGACATTGAACAATCGTAAATTAAAGTGATGAACCTTGGATATATCTACTTTATATATTAAATCATCTAGAAATTGTAATTCATGACATTTTCATTTTTTGTAGGTATCGTGATTATCGCTACCCTCCAGACCATGAGAAGCGGTACACCCACACTATGCAGTTCTGGCATATTCTGGCTGCGAAGCTGGCTTTCATCATTATCATGGAGGTAAAAGCAGGCTGCAGTGTTTCTATTAGCAACCCCAAAAAACAAACATTTTCTTAATCCATGCCAAGCTTTTTATTTTTAGTATTGTTCTTAGATTAAATGAATACATACCCTTTGTGCTCTCTCCCTCTTCAGCATGTCGTGTTTGTGGTGAAGTTCTTTGTGGCCTGGATGATTCCTGACGTCCCCTCTGACGTCAGGGCTCGAGTGAAGAGAGAGCGCTACCTGGTCCAGGAGTATCTCCATAACTATGAAGTGGAGAAGCTGAAGATCCAGCTCAGCCAAAACAGTCATAATGATTGTAACTGCACGCCTATGATATATCCGTCTTTACCCAAACATGAGGTGCTGTCAGAGTGTCTCTAGCCCAGTGAGCTGCTGGGTCAGCTCCACATGAAGGGAAGACATGGTTAAATCGATTGTCCTGCTTGTTTATTAAGATACTGAGCATCACTCTGCTGAAGTTCTATTAAAGAGCTAGAGGCTTCGTCACTTCTAAAACATACTCCTCTACTTATGTGCTGACAAAGGAAGTGTACACATGTGAAAGGCCAAGTCTCCATGCATGCTGAAACCTGAGGCCGAATCAAACGTCTGTCTAATATTGATGTCTTTTCACTCTCTATGTTGTAACCAAAGTGCTGAGAATAATCCAAACTTGCTGTAAGTGAAAAGAAAGGATATTGAATACACTGTGTCTTAGATAGGCAACATATGCTTGTTTTAATACAAGACTATTTATTTAAGTGCCACTAGGAGTAACCAAAGGTTAGATGCCTTAATATATCATACACTTACTGTATTATTGGCTCTAATTGCCACTAAAATGAGAGCTGATTTTATTGCAAACAGAGCTTGCTCATTATGTGGTTTGAGTATTTCCATTATTTGTATGCACAGCTGTATGAAGGCTTGACTAGTTGTTTTTTTTATTACTTTTTCACATGTTGCTTTAATCTGTTAAGAGTCCAACAGTTTCTCCTGGCTGTAATCTGACATGTGGAGTATCTTTTTTATGAAGACTAATCTGTGCTGCTGTTGCTACTGTGAGTAAAGGCAGATTACGTCCTGCCATGGCCAGTTATGAGCACTATCAGCTGTTATATGATCACTGTTGATATCAAGTCCCGGTTCTGGAGATAAGAAGCCTAAAAAAGCTCTGAGAAAGTGAACAGATCCCTTTTCAATGTGCCCCTGTTTACCAACACGAGCTAATGAAAGCTTGCCCTGCTCACTGAACTTTCTCCTTTGCTGGTGCTTTTCACAACTGTGGGTATAGAGAAAGAAAGACACACATTCTGTTTTTTTTGCACAAAGCACTTAATGAAACGAATCTACCACGACTTAAACATGTCGGTCTACTTGTCATGACACTACATGTTGATAATCGGTGTCAGGAAGCAGCTATGTTAATTATTTTATTCATTTAAATGGGACAAGAGTTGTAGGCTATGTTTATGTTGAGATGAAAGACAAAATATGTAGCTTTTCCTTTTAAATAAAAAAAAAATGATATGAAGGATTTCATTACGCTGGCTTCATAGAAGTATCTGTTGAAGAATTTAAGGTAAAATAGCTCGCTGTGCTACAAACTCAGGCAACTAGATGTATACAGATGTGACAACGTTGCAGAGAGCAGTGTTAAAGTTTCCCTTTCCACACCCTACACTCAGAAAAACGTATGCCTGTTGATGCCTTAATATACATAATACAACCTTTCTTTTTTGTATTTCCCTTTACTTTTCTTAATGTTTCTTCTCATGTCTACTTTTGTCATGCTTTAATTCTAATTTTATACCGTTACCATAGTTGGAAAAATGGTGAACCCGTTGACTGTATGATTCAAGTTAAAATCTCATGTTTTCATTCATTTCTTTTTTGTAATTGTCCTTTATCTGAACTGTGTATTGTAAGCAGTGACAAATTTCCAAAAATAAACTTTATCCGACATGATTTGGATCAGTCTTTGTGTAAGGACATGAAAGTTTCTGCTCACATGACAGATGGCCTGAGAGGACACTGATCAGTATTCAGTGTTACTTCACACTGGTGGGTTTTACACCTACATTCTGTGTGCTGGCAGGGTAGTTTGTCTTGGCACAAAGACAAGACACTGTAACAAAGACAGGAACAACACTTCAGGTTCAGGGAGGTTGAAAAGGTTCACATTCAGATTTTGAATTTAGTACTGTAAGTACGACGGAAGAGGGAAAGCTTGGTGTGGAGGAGGAAACCTTTTATAACCTGGGTCCAGCTCAAGGATTACAGCTGGTCTCCCACCACGTGATGCCGTCCTACTTCCTGGTAGTGATCCTCGGGGTTCCCCTAAACCTACTCTCCCTGTGCGCTTTCGTGATGCGGGACCTCCACCTTGACAACTCCGCCTCCTGGAGGTGTGCAGTCCTGGTCCGTTGCCCTGCAGATGCCTCTGCAGATTCAGCACATCTGTCCCTCGTTCGGAAAGGAGTTACAAGCCTCCTCTTCTGTCTGAGGCCACGAAGCACGGGGCTTCAGAAGTGCGCTGAAACTGTTGGAAAAAGGAAAACACTGCAAAAAACGATGGTTTCAATACCTCTTTATGTCGTTTAATCTCTCATCAGCTGAGATGTGGTGCTTACACAACACCGCCTCTGTGTGGTTGAGTGCATACTGTACTCTTCAGTGTGGTTACACATGCGTACATGTCAATTTAGTCTGTGAAAAATGGTTTAAACTCAGTATTTTCATTTTATTACCACACCTTTTTCATTTTTTTTTTATTCCTGATGTTTTAACACTTTCTGCAGGTTTGAATTAACCCGGGAACTATCGGGATGTTCGTTGTAGAGGGAGGGTGTGGATGCAGGGATCCATTCTTTGTGGCCGCTTCAAGTGCTTCTTCAGTTTCCGAAGCTTCATCCTCAAATCCCTTTTCTGTTCCGTTTGATATTTGTGTAGGTGAGAGGTTGTAAAATTGACCACTGGGGCTGTTAACAGATTTTTCGGTAGTAATTGAATGAGAGCAGAGCAGAGAAGCGGAGAGAGGGAGGAGGGGCTGCGCGTAGCTGCTGACAGGTAGATGAGCTGTGCGCTGTCCGCGGTGCTGAAACCTCCTCCGGCTGCTGCTCACCGGAGATCCTCAGCTCAGATCAGACTGGAGCTCTACTAACCTGCACCGGATCCTCATTTCTCACTATTTTTTCCCCCTGCACTATTATTTAAGAAAACTACGAAAAAAATCTACTTTTTTATTTCCTGTTTGGTCCTTTTTCCTTATCGCTGCCTGGATCTTAAGATGGCACTGCGTGGATTAACATTGCGCAAGGCAGAAGCGGACTTATTTGACTGCTGTTTTGTGACTGTGAAAGCAACCCTCTCACACTGAACGGGTTCCCCCTCTTTCTCCATTTTCTTCCTCGTCTTTTCAGGACATCAAGGCGTTTTCTGCCTCAAAACCAAAGGCGTGCTATTTGGATTATTATCTCAACAATATGCTCATTATTGCAGCACTTCCATTTGTTATAGTATTATAGAATTTTTAAAGAGTATTTGGACATGGAGCCAGGAAAGGAGCAAGCTCCCCCCACAACTAAAGATGGGCTAAAACAGATCGCGGGAAAGGCCCTCGGGAACCTGTACAGGTAATTGACATTTCTGTATGTTTTTTAAATTAAGGAACTACGAATTAAAACGAAAGAATACATGAAATCTAGACATTAACATCACATATTAAGTATGCATTGGCTTTGAATGTGTTTATTACTGAATATAAATTAAATGAAGGGGGAAATCTCTTCTTTCTGGGATGAATCACGCGCAGGATTCTGGATGTGGCCCGAATATTTAAGGATCAGATATTTCCCTGGAGGATGATCCCTCCACCAGCAGCTGTGGGTGTTTTTTTTAATAATTAATGAAACAGAGCGAGTCGTGACACAAGGTCTGAGGATATCTATTACCTTATGTATCCATCTGTATTCATTCAAGATCGATGGACTTCATATCAATTGACTCCCATTATTTTTTACACTTGCAAGAGGATCTGGATGAAATGTGGTCCAAAGAATAAATGGATCCCTGGCAGCACAGCAAACACATCCTCAGTCTAAAACTAAAAGTAGTGGAGCAGAGTGTGGGGAACAGATTTTCACACGCACGACATCTTATTTAAATCGTATTGGAATTGCGAATCAACGACAAATAAGCCAGAAAATATTTTTCTTATTAATCATATTGAAAATGCAGCTGTTAGAAAATATGCATATAACCTATAATCCGACCATTGATGGGAACATCCTATTGTTTTAGATTTATATCTAAATTGTATTTGTTTAGTTGAAACAGATTTTTTTTAAATATAGACGTGATTCAAAGCTATGAAAGGAAAAAAACTGTGTAGGTTGACTTCAGCTGTAGCAGGCCAGTGCTCGCACAGGATGAGGCCTTCACATTCTAACGATTCGTTTTTAAATCAACCTTAAATTCCTTTTTATGAATTCCACTTTAAAGGCAAAGCAAGATACCGACCCCACATTTATGAGTTAATAAATAATAAAATTGCACAAATAACTCTAAACAACGCTGCTGCTGATATTGCTGCAATGCGGTATTAAGGTCATTTTCTCTTCGTTTGCCAGCGAATCTTTCTTAGAGAGGAATGTGAAGAATTTGAGCGAGAAACGAAAAAAAAAAAAAAAAAGATGCACTTTGACTTGAACAAAAAGCTGCTGGATTTAAAGGCCTGATCCACATCAAGCAGAAAATAAAGACATTGTTATGGCCTGGCGGTGATAGTGCACTGCAAAGATGAAAGCTTTTTCTATGTAGAATAAAAAAATGCAAATAGTCCAAAGAAGAATAGACTACTTTAATATTTATGTTAAGTTTTTTTCTGTAATTGCAGAAAATCACACTTTTTCCACAAATAAATCTCGCTTCTCGTTCTTTTAAATAAGCATGATGCCTGATTTTCACACATCCAAGTGTCGACATTGAATTTAGCCTAAAAAACAAATACTATATTTAACCGTGCAGGAGGCTGGAAAAGCGGCAGCAAACAGGTGAGGTGATCGAGCTGACGGAGGATGGGAGACCCTCGGCGGACCAGGAGCGGAAGGCGCCCCTGTGCGACTGCACGTGCTTCGGAGCACCGCGGAGATACATCATCGCTATGCTGAGCGGCCTCGGCTTCTGCATCTCCTTCGGTATCCGGTGTAACTTGGGTGTGGCCATCGTCAGCATGGTCAATAACCACACGATCCATCAGAACGGCAAGATCGTCATCTTAGAGGTGCCTGCAAACCCCGCCCCCTTAAACCCCCGCACGAGACCCTATGTCTGAAATGAGATTGGGGCCAAAAGACACACCCAAAAACCCCAACATCTATTTTTAAATTCCATTTAGAAGTCGTTTGGCTTGTATTTTATTTAAGGTATAAGTACACCACTGTAGTTGTTTCACATTATAAGTCATTTTTCTTAAAAATAAAAACAAAATTAAAACAATCGCCTCATTTTGCTTGTCTGAGTAGATCGATCAAATTGGCTTTAACACCGTCGAATTTGGGGGAAAAAATATCTTATCTTTCAGAAAGTTGGCCTATTTCTATCTGAAAGCCTATTTGTGTCTTTCCCACTCAAACAACATAAATACATTTTGATTTAATGTGAATTAAATGTGACTTTTAAGCTAGCCTATATTATATAAAAGGGAAAACCCTTTAATTCTGTTCTTCATATTTTCCGTGTGTGAAAGAAAGCGAAATTCAACTGGGACCCGGAGACGGTGGGGATGATCCATGGGTCCTTCTTCTGGGGCTACATCGTGACTCAGATACCAGGAGGATACATATCCTCCAGACTGGCTGCAAACAGGTAAGTGCACGCGATCATTGCACAAACTAGATGAACTCAATAGACTGTAGTGGAGGGGGGGGGGGGGGTAGCTTTCCTGCAGGAAATAGCTTTCCTGTATTGGTTTGCTCTCATTTTTTTAAGAATGGGACTGTAATTTAAGTACTATCAATGAGTGGGTATACTGGTTTTGAGGTGTCAGTCTGACCTTACAGGGGATTTGGCTGATGCCCACCAGGCGTGCCTCCTCATGTTAATGAGCTCCCACGAGACCACCGTGTCTAATCCTTTATGTTCACAGACATGGCAACCACAGCAGCCACAGCTCGGTGTGAAATGCGATTCTTAGTGATGATTGGAGTATGAATTTGATGGTCATAGCACCTTTACGCTATATTGTTTTCATAAAAAAAACGATTATTCAGTGATAATTAGAAAAGGGAGCAGAGAAAATGTTTCATAAAGAACAATAGGCTACATATTGTACAACAAAACTGTAAAGTCCTTGTTAACAATAAATGTAATTGCAAAAGTGATTATGATAACAATCATTTATATTAGGATAAGTTACAAGTAAACGTTGTTATACAACATGGATATTGGGGGATTGTTGGATTTTTTACGAGGGAGATGGAGCCTAAATAAGATGCAAATCTTTGAGAGCTTCCTGATGCCAAGTCAGCTGAGCCCACTGACGCCTTCTGCTGCAAACACCTCCTGTCCTCACTCCCATTACACTGAAAAACTGCCTGCTGTGTGTGTATGTGTGTGTGTGTGTGTGTGTGTGTGTGTGTGTGTGTGGCATCCAATTAGGACTGATTTATCCTCCCTATCCGTGCTTATTTTAACGTTGAAGAAAAGAATACAACAGCAAAGGATATTTATCTGCCTTTAAATATCTTTTTTTAGAGTGTTTAAATTAACCAGATAATGCTGTTATATTCAATCAGATGCTCATGATTTGATGATATTCTGACAAATAACCCTATCACACTGTTTTTCTTCAGAGTTTTTGGAGCTGCCATCGTGCTGACATCCACCCTGAACATGTTCATCCCCTCTGCAGCCCGCACTCACTATGGATGTGTCATCTTTGTGAGGATATTACAGGGGCTGGTGGAGGTACTGATGCTCTGTTTATCCATCACATCTTGACCTTTTACAGACTCTCAAATGATGCCTCATTATCAAGCTGAGGACTAAACTTGATTCCTAATAAAAATGTCCTGACATTCTGAATTTGATCAGGTTATACTTGCTATCTGTTTGAATCTGCACTGGGGGAAAAAAAGCCCATTATTTAGACAATCTAATCATAATACTATACACAATTACCAAACGAGCACACAGACAGCAAACAGCATACAAACTTGAATAGCAGGAGCTTATGTGTGTGGGTTTAGCTGACCAAAACAGCCCCATGTTCACATAGAAACACATAGAACAAAAGGGATAAAAGCACTCAATGAGGGCGGCTCCCACAGCTCCACAGAATGGAGAAGATTTCAGGGAGGGAAGCTTTTATCAGACTGAAGGTCATCCTCTTTTGTTTTTTTGTTTTGCTGTGTACTACCGTTTCAAAAGCAGCCCATGAAAGCGAGAAGCGAGCGAACGTGTTGATGCCCATCGACTTATTACAGCAAATTAAACATTAGCATTTCAGGGTGTCTCCCACTGCAAGCCCCAGCAATTTGTGTCTATCAATAGTTGATTGTATGCCACTTAGTCTGTAATGAAGATTTAATGGGAGCAATTCAGTTTTTTTTCCATGAAGTGGGTAGTCAGCTTGAATTTGCACTGACTCACACCTCCGCCATTAGTCTCTATTAGAAAGGTCAGCTACGATACATGTCAGTCTGTTTGTTATTAACTACAATTTGTCCTGTTCGCCTGAAACAAATAAGAACTGACTGCGAAATTCAAGAAGAATATCTCAACATTGTGAAAGTGGATGAATATTTGTAAAATGTAGTCTTTAAAATTAAAACAATACATAACAGTTTGCACAGTAACACATTATTTGTTTGCCTCAAATTTATTAAACCATATCAAAGTTATTATAGAATGATGCTTGTGTGTTTATCATCTCACTGTGATGCATTCTGTCCCTGTGCAGGGAGTCACTTACCCAGCATGCCATGGGATCTGGAGTAAATGGGCTCCACCGCTGGAAAGAAGTCGTCTGGCAACCATCTCATTCTGCGGTACAAAAGCAACACACACTGACATGTTTCTGTGAAAATAAGTGAATACATTTTAACATCATATTACTTTTTACTCTGGGATAAAGGTTTAGAATTACAAAATATTATGTATACCGTACAATGTAGAAAATGTGTCACTACACACTGCAACAACGCTGCCTTCTGAGTAAGCAGTATCAGATTCTTCTGGGTCATTACTATTTCTCTTGTTCAGGATCCTACGCTGGCGCAGTGATAGCCATGCCTCTGGCTGGGATCCTGGTCCAGTACACAGGCTGGTCCTCTGTCTTCTATGTGTACGGTGAGTGTCATTGTCATGAACTGATTTTGTTAAACCCCTAACAGCAAGTCGTTGCAACTCAAAAGAAAAACTACAACACACAAGTTCAAAAGAAATGGACTCTTATTTTCAATTCAATCCACTCAGGACTTTGCTGCTCCAGTCTGACATGGTCTCATACCAAAAGCCTATGGTGGCTGAAATTAGCAAACAGAAATCAGATATTGCAAAGAGGCTAACATTACAACATGTTTTCGATTCATATATCCTTCTGTACTCTACTCTAACACAAGCAACAACCTTCCTGTATGAAAATGAAGCCAACACTGAAGGACAAAAAAGTGAAGACACTTACATTGTCACTAGAGGCTGACTCCAGGAGTCAAGTGTATTCTCATTGACACCAATGTGAAAACAAACTTGTTCACAACCTGGAACTATACCCCTTTGGTCTTTATAGCTCATTTCCCCATCCATTATTACTGAACCCACGGGTTGTAAGTCATAATTAAAGTTAGGGAGAGTGATTCTGGAGAAAACTTTGAACATATGAACTCAACAACCAAACCAAAGTACACTGCTCCCTGTAGTGATCCTTCGCAAACACCGCTTCCCAAAGTCATGAAGGCAAATTGCTGGCTCATCAACAAATGATGCGGAATCCAGACCAAAGGGATAGTTAACCCAATAGAGAAACAAACTTATCACGATCATGGTGTAGCTCAGTTCTCTGTGGACGTGGAGGCCTGAGCATGGACGCTAGGCAATAATAATTTATACTTTATTAATCATGATGGTATTTTGCTTATATTGCTTGCTCCAAATTGTAGGCCCAATCCCAGAGCCATACAAGGAGACAGAAAGAACAGACAAGAGTCCGACTGAGTAGATACTTTCTGAAGTTGACTAAAGATGTTTTGTTATAGAATCAAATCGCTCACCTTTAAGGATGTTGCTGCTTTGAGTGACATGTGTTTTAATTTCTGATGTATTCACTCCGATGATGTTATCAGGATGCTTTGGGATTTTCTGGTACATGTTCTGGATCTTGGTGTCCTACGAGAGTCCAGCGGAGCACCCGACCATCACCGAAGAGGAGCGGCGTTACATCGAGGAGAGCATCGGTGAAAGTGCTCAGCTGATGGGTGCAATGGAGGTGCGTTCTCAGTCTTCATATGTTGTCTTCTTCGCGCTCGCCGAGTGCTGTACATCCAGCTCATTCATGGTTTGTTTCAACAGAAATTCAAGACTCCCTGGAGGAAATTCTTCACTTCCATGCCAGTCTATGCAATTATCGTGGCCAACTTCTGCAGGAGCTGGACCTTTTATCTGCTCCTCATCAGCCAGCCTGCGTACTTTGAAGAGGTGTTTGGCTTTGAAATCAGCAAGGTGAATATATCCCTTATACAAGCACATACCAGACACAAAACTATCCCTCAGCTTCATGCAGTTTATTTTATATAAATAGAGGTCAACAATCTTCTTGATACTAGCATTATAATCTGTTTGATTTTGCATAGAAGACTAAAACAACTCAATTTGTAAATGCAAAAAAGTAAAATTATTTATTGGGCTGGTCGGAATTTTCTGTTTTGATTTTTTAAAATATTTATTAACTATTTGGATTGAACTAAACTGGCATTGTAGGAGAAATATTAAAGCAACTGCAACCATTTGTATTTTTCCATACCTTATTAATGTCATGGACAAAAGGTTTCAATAGGATGGGGGTGCTTTGTGAACCTGCTGAGAATTATCACCTGATTTTGAGAACCTCCACATCTGGACAGAGCTACATAACATGTTTTAGATTTATTTTTTGCTATCTGATTACAAGGTCACTGTTTTGATTCAGCCTTATCACAGTACTGGTGGGTTTTTAGTCGCAGCATATAATGAAAAAAGTTCAAAGTTTCTTTCATGTTACTTTTTCAGAAACAAACTGTGCAGGCATAGTTAGCGACCAGCTGGTCAACACAGTGGAGCATTTAGCACCTACAAAGAGAGGCATTTGCTTAGTCTTTCTTTGTTGCTGTTGTTGTTTTACACCTTGTCTGTAAAGCACTTTTGTACACTGAGCCTGCTTTAAATGTGCGATTCAAATACACTTGACTTGACTTGAGGAATTAGGGACCTAGCATCAAGGTAACAGACGGTTATTATTGCTCTTACAATCATCACATGGACACAAAACATAACTCCATGTATTGCATGTTACTCTGTGACTGCTAGATGTGAAGATTTTCTTTCTAAACTTTAAATCCTCTTTGTATTTTTCACTGATGTATATATTACACTGATTTTGCTTGTTGCCCGTGAGGGAGCAATTTTGCAGTGAGCTCTTGTAAAAGTGATGTGGCTACTTTGTTTCTCGTGTTTCCTTTAGCTAACGTGTGACTAATCAAGATTACAGTTCATCTTAATTGACAATCTTCATCCTATTACTACTACTGCTGAACTTTTAATCAGACTGGTTTGTCAGGCTACTGGGGTTACTGCAGATGATTTATTGCTCTGAAGTGGTGCTGGAGCCAGAAGAGGAGACACACAGATTGGCTCTGAGACAGAAAAAATTACTTTTATGATGAAGGAGTCATGGTAGTTGTCACATTTTGCTTCAGACACAATTTTGATGTTTTCTCAGGTTGGAATAGTGTCGGCGCTTCCTCACTTGGTCATGACCATCATCGTGCCCTTAGGGGGCCAGTTAGCTGACTACCTGCGGACACACAACATCCTGTCCACCACTGTGGTCCGTAAAATCATGAACTGTGGAGGTAGGACTTTTACATCAGTTCTTTGTGTGTTCCCTTGAAATTTCAGAGCAATTCCTCAAAGTTAATTCTTGTCTTTTTGTTTTTAGGTTTTGGGATGGAGGCCACTCTCTTATTAGTGGTGGGTTACTCACACAGTAAAGGGGTAGCCATCTCGTTCCTAGTTCTGGCAGTGGGTTTTAGTGGATTTGCAATATCAGGTGAGTCCCAAAACAATCGATTCTAGTACAAATTCTGAAGTAACATAGTAGCAAAAAAACAAAAAGAAACAAAAAAACAATAATGTTTTGTTGCTGTAGGTTTTAATGTCAACCATCTTGACATCGCGCCACGCTATGCCAGCATCCTCATGGGCATCTCAAACGGTGTGGGTACACTGTCAGGGATGGTCTGCCCTCTTATAGTGGGAGCCATGACGAAGAACAAGGTGAGTCATATCCAATCATACAGTGATGGAAGGGTTAATGTTTAGAAGACATTTTAATAGCTAATGAAAATATGATTTCCTATTTGAGTATCTCTGTAGCATTAGATTCATTAAATGTATCAAACCTTAAATTGGAGACACATGTTGTTACAGAATACTTAGAATTACTTTTAGGATATGAATTAAAATAAAAAAAGAATAATGCTGAATCAATGCACAGAAACAGGATAAGAATTTGCATAGTGTGTTTTTGTTGTTTCAGAGTGTCTTTTACCACCTCAGTAGCTGAGATATGCAGCAATCTAGGAAGTACTCAAAACTGCAGTTCTTCTTATGGCCACTTGAGGCTGGCTACTAAAAAGAGTCATACTCAATAGTCCACCATTTTAAAATGACCAATTTTAGAGTAATAATGAACACGTATACGACCTTGTGGAAAAAAAAAGAAGTTTGATATGTAGCTATATTGTCCCTATTTATGTGTGATGCACCTGAGCACCTGTTTAAATTTCAACGTTGTGAATTTTTGGGCCTCAGCTTATGCATAATGTGATGCCTGACATCACTTTTTCTACTATCTACTTTAAACCAGTTAGAAAAAAAAAATACAAAAATGTGGAATTATGTGACACAACCCAAACTGTTTTGCAATACTTCTTCCCACTTCTCAATAAGTCAACTATGAAAATAGATCACCAGAGCCTTTTAAGAAGCCTTACTAACACTACTTTCCGTCTCTAGACCCGGGAAGAGTGGCAGTATGTCTTCCTCATCGCCTCCCTGGTGCATTATGGGGGCGTGGTGTTCTATGGGCTCTTTGCGTCTGGGGAGAAACAGCCATGGGCCGATCCTGAGGAAACCAGCGATGAGAAGTGTGGCTTCATCGATGAGGATGAGCTAGCCGAAGAGACGGGTGACATCACGCAGGCGTACGGTGCAATGGCCGGTCCCGCTAAAAGCTACGGGGCCACTGCACAGCTAAATGGAGGCTGGGTGCAGGACTGGGATAAGTCGGAGGAGTATGTGCAGGAACCGGCAGGGAAGATATATTCTGAGCGTGGCTACTCTTAAAGAAGGGGTGAGTCTGCTTCCAAAAAATACAACAACAGACTCTTCATCTTGGATTGCACAAATAAGCATTATCTTAGATATATAAATCCATTCTGTGTATTCAAGTAAAACGGTTACTAGTTTCAAAAAGCCAATGTAAACAAATAGTTTATTGCAATGCAGAACAATCCTCATTAGATTGTCACATGTTTCTCATCACATGTACCAACGGTAGGGCTTCACTAGACAGAAAGCAGTTGTAAAGAAATCTGCAGGCCTATGTTGTACTTCTTCTTAGGCACCCAAACCTCATCAATCTACTTGAACATAAGCCAGATGACACTGCAGTTGACCATCATATTGGGTCTCTACCACTCTGATTGCACTGAAACTATAAGTATTCAAATACAAGATTCTATTCTGTTTCTCTAATGTGTTTTATGTACATGTATATATCTGTATACCGTTTCTGTGAGACTATTGTGGATTTTGGGTCGTTGATCTGTGTTAACATTAATATAAAAGGCCATATTTTTCATGGACAGTACCTTTTCAGGGAGATGTCTGCTTGCAAAAAAGGTCTTCTTCTTCTCAAGCGAGGCCTATAATACACTATGACAAAAAAATAGCGTGAGTGAAGTTGAAATGTAGAGTTTTAGTGTGTGTTTGTTTGCATGAATTTGCTCAAATCAATGTTTCAGATGCAGCCACCTCATGGCCATCAATAGTCCTCATTCAGCCTATACTGCTTTGTTCTTAGATACGTGTCTTCTGCCATTAGAAATAACAATACAATGAAATTTCATGATCAGGTTGCAGTCGTGATGTGAGACAATTCAAAAAAGTTCTGAAGGCGATTGCTCAGAAGACATTGTTTATTGATGTTTGGTGTGCACTGCAATAAATTCTGTGTACCAGCCGCCACCCATCACATTCTGTTTTGTAATGTAACACTGGCTTGCTGTATCTAAATGTAATTGTTTTGGAGTCATGTGATGATTAACATTAAGGTGTGTGTTTTAACAAATTACTAGTGTCTGGAGAATCCAGCTTTAGTGCTCATGATGAAGGACATGTTGCATTTTGACAGCGAGGAATGCAGTACTGTATATGAACAACCAGGTTTTTGTGCTCTCTCTCTTTCTCTCTTGGTGTTTCTTGGTTGTTTCCATTGTCACCAACAGTACTTTATGGACACTTTGATATTGTCATGTTTGAGTGGACCACAGGAATTAATAGATGGCTCTTCCACCCGACTTTATTTGCTATGGAACACTTTGATTTGATGTATGAAATCTGCAAGGATGTATAAAATAAATGGATATTTAAGAATGTTTAAGATGACCAAAAGATGCTATTATGGCTTTGTGCCTGAAGTTTATGTGAAAAAGATAAATGTGATTTTATGGATTCTATTATTGTGTTTAAAGAAGAGGTATGTTGATGTCAAAAGGTGTTATAAAAATACTCATATCATTTTATAAAAAACAAAACAACCAAAGTCATGTTTTTGTCCTTCTTGCTCATATTTCCATCCTGTGTGTTGATGGGATGTACTGCAGTGTGTTCAGCTGTTAATCTGAAGGTTAGAAGTCCTCAGAGACTGGAGGAAGAATATCAAACCTGTTAACCACTTTCTCCAATCGCTATCCTGCTTCTCCTGTCCTCTCCACGTTCCTCATTAGTAAATCAATGCCTGACGTCTCTGGAGTCCAGAGGAGAGTTTTGGACACTGTGGCTTGGTAATTGGTACAGGGAGAGAGAACACTAATGATATTACCATAGTTTACATGCCTACAAACCACAATTATTGTCTGTCTACCAGAGTCCTGACTTTAATATGCAGTGTAAACTCTCCGGAGGTGTCATGTAGGTGCACAAAAGTGTGACAAACCTATAAAGCCGCTCTTCACACTTTGCTGAATAGTAATGGAAGTAGAAAGATCAGAGGCATTAACAAAAGAGAAAGCCATAGTGAAGAGGTAAGCAGTGTGATATTAAACACAACCCCAATGTGTCCTCTTCTACACACAGCTGAGGTCAACAGTGCTACATGTAACACATTCAACTATTGACCCAGCATTAAATCTAATCACATGACAAATCAATACTGTTTCACTCTAGAGAAGGCTCCAACTTAAACATTTATGCTTTTAATGAAAGTTTGACCTTTCTTGTTGGGAGAAAAGAAAGGTTACACCATGTTTGTAGAAGTCCCTTTATTTCCTAGTTAGTAATATTTCACATATTCTCGGAAAAACAATGAACATCGAGAAGCGGAAGAAATGGTTGTAGCAGTGCACTATGATCATATAAATGTCTGGGTTTCATTCTTGCAAATGGATAAATAAATGTGCACAGAAGATATTGTTTGTACTCATTTTGAGTTGGTCAAGATTATACTAAAAATACTGCACTATTAAATCTCACAAATAAGGCAGAGTGATGGAGAACTAATAGTGATACTTTGACCCCAATTAGTTCTGATATCAGAGGTGTAAACAGTAAACAAGGAAGTAAAATTACCTTTTGAGGAATCTCTTTGAGCTCTGCTGCCTGTTCAACACACCGCTGAGCAAACTGTGAATGTCAATCAGTCAATCAGTCAATCAGTGAGATGGTAAATAATTCAGGAAAACATTGGCATCCACCCATCAACATTCATCACTCCAGAGTCCAAACTACTCTCCACAGCAGAAAGGGTTCGATGGTATGTGACATACTGTAACTGCAATTAAAAGCACTTGACAGTTCCTCTCAGCTTCAGCAAGTAGAAGTTCGTCTTACAGAGTCATTTTTCAGTAAAGACACTTAAAATAGTAAAAAGCAGTTTCAGGTTAAGATCTATGTCTTCTATGGTCTTTAGTATACAAAGTATTTCAAAGGGACTGCATGGTGAGCTGACGCTATTGTAAGCTAAGCTTGGTTCTAGCGGCTCAACCTTTTTTTTTAGTATTTCTTCGGTGATCAGTGTCGTTTGAAGTTCTTACCAGTGAAGAACGATGATGAGAACAAAACACTAAATGATGCAGTATCAGGTGGAAAACCTGCTTCTCTGATGCTCTTAGACAGAGAGGAGTTCAGAAGAGGCTACAAGCCGAGCTGCAGCTAACATTACATCAGCTTATTCTAAGACACTAGCTAAAACATTTTATTATCTCCATCCCTTTTAAGGACACATGATACACAGTGAGGAGGCTGCTAGCTGAGCTGCTACTTATGTCCATATATATAATTTATGAATTTTTGGTTTAAATTTTGTCATCTTGGGAGGATAATGCGAGTTGAATGTCACAGTAACTCTGTTTTTTTTTTTTTTGTGGGGGGCATTTACTTATGGATGAACTTCACTGGCTCTGAGAGGCTGTAAGACCTATCAATAGGGACCCAGATAAATGATATCTAAATCCCTGATAGTGATGGTTATATCCCTAGACCTACTGGTAGATATCAAATTAGGTAGGTTTTCCATCTTCCTGAGTGTACTACCAGCTGAATATATGCAGCAAAAAAAATCTCTGCAGCATCTTGCAAATGAAGCCTCTTCCACAAGAAAAATGATAGACAGGCATGAAGTGTGTGGGGTGGGGGTTTAAGGTGTTGACCATCGGTTTTATGCACAAGATGGACAGTCAGAATCAATTAAATGTGCAGTTGCGGAGTTGAATCTACTGCAGTCTTGTTCTGTTTTGACTGATCATTTGATCCCAGGAAGCAGCTCCATATTTGAATCACTCGGAGTAAAAGCAGTGGCAGCCGTTACAATAAATCTCAAGTTTCTCTTCTGATTACCCACTCAGCCGAGGAGGGATACCATTAACGCTCACAACCGGCTGCTTCTCAGTGCACATGTTAATTTGACAGAAAACACAATTGTGTCACCGGCCACGTGGAACATGTTTTCTCATGACTAACCAGCCGCGTTGGTCATGGCTGTTGCCCGCAGTGACGTGGCTGTTGTGAGGAGCGGTAATTGGATGAAATCTGGCGTTGACATTTCATTCATACGAGGAGATTCTCTCTGCACTGATCTGCCTCTAACCTCCAACCTCTGTGTTTCTACAGCGTCTCAGGCTTAGTCATCCTGATGTTTTTGTAATAGTGATGTGAGTGAGGAAGGATTGAGTAGTAGCTCATGTGTGGGGCAGGTGCAGTGTGGCTCCTGGGGGACTGTAATGGGATGAGGCCCAGCCAGAATGAGTGTTTGATGACGGGGTTGCACTCCTCCCCTGGGACTATGCCTGCATGCAATTATCCTCCTGATCCCTCTCTCTCTCCTCTAGTCTGCTGCTCAAATTGTACACAGGGTTCTCTGCAAAATGCAGCCTCAATATCCTTAACTTACCATCAAAAATTCAGCTCCCTGACATGCCAGAAGGAGAAATAATTATAACCCCAACTTTCAAAGCAGTATTGGAGTAATTACTGTTTCATGACACCCTCTAGCGTGACATTACTCTACCTCCAGGGCGATTGAATTTACAAACGCCCCCTTCTCCTCCCTTGCTAATTGCTTTATTAATGGAGAGCTTGGTACCCCAAATCAGTCTTTCTCACCAGTAATGACATTATATGTCTCTCTCTGCACCCTGATGCAATCTAAAACAAATACATTAAAGATGAAAATGTTTCAAAACAGATTCCCCAATCTTCCCTGAAAGACATTTCTTTAAAATCTCTTGCTTTTGCACTGAGGTTTATACCAGATGAAAAACTTCTTTTGTGAAATGCTCATGGCGTCCACCATAAAACATCCATTTTTTTTAAGCCCCACAAGCAAAAAGAAATATCTACTGTCATTATTTTAATCTGTGAATACTTTCCAATCCTACTTAAACATTAATGAGTACTAAACTAAATATATTTCACCCACAGTAATGAAGCAAAATACAAAGGCTTCTTTTCCGACCTGCCATGGTTGGAGTGAGAACTACACCCTCCATAATGACAGGAAAAGGAAGGAGATTGTCTACATCCAATTGTTTTTTTTTTTCTACAGACCTGTTTTCCAGCAGTTGCATGTAAGGTAATCTATCACAGGTCCTTTCACTTCCCCTCCCCCATATCACATTACATTGACAGCTTCATAGCCTCCTCTCTACAGCGAGCTTGTATCTCTCTCGTATCTCACACAAGACAAAGGATGAGAGGCCGATAAGATTTTACATGATATTGTTGAACCAGTGCTGGCAGTACTTTGCTTCAAAAATGATGACAGAATAATCAGATAATGAAGGGAAAGGTTGACTGTTAATCTACTGCACATAAAGAACATTAGATCAGAAAATAGCTTTTTTCATCTGGAAAAAAGCTACTTTTTTTTTTACTTTTATGGCAGAAACTACAATTATCTCATATTGATTATTTGGCATATGTAACAAGAGAAACAGAACGTTAAACACATATTTAATTGAGTAGGTTAAGACAAGGAAAAACCGGACATTGTCTTATCTGAGGAATTTAAACAAGATGCTTCTTGTTGATGACGCTTGAGAAGTTAAACATTTAGGGTATTATTATCATCATTTTTAGTAGACTTTCTTTTCATGTTTTTTAGTTCAGGTAAAGCCCCCTCCCTCTTCTCATGTGCCAACATAAAGCAGTATTTCTGCATCCACAAATGTGTGGACAAATGTGTTTTTCTGACATATCCACCGCCAGCACCGAGGGGCCACGCGGCCTCGGGTGCGGGGATCACAAAACCGGTAATGATCCTTCAGCAGGTTCACCTACGGAAACCTCACAGCCTCACTAACGAGGCAGTTTTTTTTATGGGAGGTCCTGGAGAGGACAATGTGAATTTATTTCATCCCATTCTTCAAAAGTTCCAAAAACATTTCACAGGATTCAAGAGGGAAAAAAATGGCACTTGTTATATTAAAAAGCCTCCATCTTTTTCCTCAAAGCATCTCTGGGAGAAAAACAAAATTAAAGCATCAGTCCCTCTCCCTCGGTGCATGCCTGATGAAGGCTGCCGCTCATCATCAGCGTCCTCAGAGTGGGACACAGGTGTGATGGGGGGGCCCTCCTGCCTCTGTGATCCATCACTGAGGCCAGACAGGGGCCAGGCTGGAGCGGCTTAGGCACGTGCCGAGGGAGGGCTCTACACACACCCCACACCCCCACTGCCCCTCAGAGGACTCCCTATTCACACCGACAGATGGGGGCTGCATCTGAGTTTTAATGAATGCTATCCTTCAGGACCCCTTTAGAAGCTGCAGAACAACAGTCGCCCTCAGCATGTCTCTCTGCAGTTTGTCAGCCAATGCTAAAGCACAACAATAACAAATTGAATAGAATTAAAAATAGCAGGAGGAGGAAATACTATAAAGAAAAACAAGAATATTACGTCACTGAAAGGTGTCAAAATAATACCAATTCCAAGATATTACTAAATTCACTGTTCAGGAGCTTGGGCAGCTTAAGCAAGCAAACATCACACACTACAAGTGGGCTGATTGTTGGTAATAAAGGGCTGTCTTTGACCTCCTGCTGTTTAAAATGATACCATAACACTACCCTGTAATTTTACCGTGCAGGTTAAGAGCAAAGGGTAATTTGTTTGCTTTTGAAACGTAAGGATGGGCCTGATCTTCACGTGATCTATTACAATAACACAGCTCCCTTTCAAGTCAAACGGAAGATTGGTGGCATTATAAATTTAAAATAACAGGCTTGCCTTTATTGTGTCACTTGACAACCATGTCGGTATTTATACTGTTAACAATAAAGGGTTAAATATGTTTTCTTTTGGTACACAGTACTAAATGGTTAAGTGTTGCTTTTCTTGTAGGCTCCTCATTTGGAGCGAGACAATAACACATGTGAATCATCGCCATGGCTGCTTACACTCTTTGCCAGGTATGTGTAAGGCTGTGAAGAAGAGTGAGAAACAGGAAATCTAAAATTGAAAAGAAGAAATTTGAGGGTTTAGTCCCAGTGGTTAAATACCTTTGTGCTGCTTGGTAACATGTAGAGGATAAAAATATGTTAATAAGCTTAAGAGACCTGCATTTGTCCCTTCAGTGTTTTTCAGATTTTATCAGTTATAGTGAAAGTAAATCACTCCGCATGTATTTGTAACATAAAACAGGTGAGATCCACTTAATCAGTATTGGTTTCCATCCAGCCAGATGCATATGTTCCTCACTGGTGGAAATAAATTGGTTGTGTACATGCTGCCCTTTACTCAGTGACCCGTGTCTGTCTCTACGTGAATTGCTTTCACGGCGTGTTAAACGAGCCGTGGTCGTGTTGGTGTTTCCCTGCACTCAGCGGACGGGTCTCTAATCTGCTGCCTGCCAGAGTTATGTCACACACCAGCTATTGTACAGGCTTTGATTGAAGATGTCTGATCTGACTAACTGATCCCTCGCCGCAGAGGAGCTGTGAGATGTGTGAATTGGCAGTCTAGTCACATGACTGGCATGAGGCCAATCAAAATTTTTAGGTTCATAAAGAGCACAGCTTTGAGACAAAAAGGCAATACGGACAGATGGTGTGTGAGGAATGATTTCAGGTGTGAATAGTTTGAAAAAATTGGATGAGACAATGCCTGACTTTTCTTTCCTTATTGCGTTCCCTTCTTTGTCCTTGTTCTTTCAATCAATGAATTATCAAACTAACGTCCCTCTGCAGATCCTCTCAGTGTGGAATCATTTTTTTGAGGAGATCTGAAATCAGCAACTACACATTGATTTTACAAACTACACATCTATAATCATTTGTAGTAATAATTTGAATCTAAAAACATCACAAATGTGAAGTGTAAACTGTCAAGGCTATTAATTATTTTGCATTTAATTGAACAGGTCCCGTGCTGCTGCTGATTACAAGGCTGCACATGACGCTGCCATCTGTCCAAACCCTGTGAGCTATGCATTTCTACTTCTGTTCAATGAAATAATACCTTCCTTTGTCATCAGGTGTTTGTTTAGATCTGACAAAAGCACCTACTGTGAGGAAAATAAGACAAATGCTGTTTTTCCCCCTTCAATTATACACATTTTATTTTTGGTCCTGAATTTTTGTTTTGTTTTGTTTCTTGGTCTACGTCTTTGCAAATTGCACAAACTGAAAAATAATGATTGATGAAGAAAAATTGACTAGACAACAGTGTTGTGTTTCTTTTTTGTGGAATTTGCACTCAACCTAGGGGTGTTTTTTTTTTTTAAACACTTACAATAAATGAGTTTCAGTACTAGTAAGTAAGAAATACTACTTCACAAATATTCTACAAAACAACTTTTTTCATTGAACAAATAAAAAATGTGCAACATAAAAAAACTGGTAAAGTTATGACTGAAATCATCATAAAAGGTAGAGAATTATATGAAATGAGCAACTATTTGACATCAAGTTCAAGTATCTGCTGCTTTCAATAATTGGTGCTGCTGACACGTTCTGTTTGGGAATAATCAAAGTAATGTGGTTTAATATTTACATCTATACAAACACTGCTTCAAGTCATAAACAGATGTAAAAAAATACAGCTTTTAAAAACCCACAAGACTGACAGTCAGCTGTTTATTGCTGACAGAAGGTCTCCCCAAACACTAAGACCACTGACATCAAAATCTCCATCTGAAATTTTCAATGCATTTAGCTCATTTTCTACATGCTCCCTCAGAGAGGGACAGGCTGAAAACAAGGCCTTAAAGTGCTCCGTCAGTTTGCAGTAGGACATGGCGGTTTGGTTTGTGCTGGTTTGAACCCATTCACCTTCAGTGATGCTGAACTCCATATCAGAGGCCCACTTCTTCAGCACATCATAGTATGCATCTTTAAATTTCCGGTGTTCTTTGGCTAGGTTTATTATATGAGTAATAGGTAGTGCAGAACACATGTGCTGCAGCAGTCTGTTTTTTGTCTGCAGCCAGTCCAAGAGAAACTCCTGTGAAGCAGTTTTTGCAGCTGAGTCTTTTGTTGTCAGCAGAGCTGCAGCGATGACCACACAGAAGTGTTCCGCTTCTCCCTCACGTCCCTGGAGGACAGAGTCCAGAAAGTGCTCTGTACTGCGTGCTTCGCCGCCTTGGCTCAGCAGAGCTTCCAGTCTCTCCATCAGCATCAACCCTCGCACCTCAGCATCAGCACCCACAGCTGACAGACCCGTGAGAGGACTCAGGACTTTACAAGCCGATTTGCATTGAATGATTCGGCTGCAGAAGCTGGTAACATCCTGATAGTCACTCTGTTTGGTGTTAATAGGACCGCCAGTGTCAAAGAGTATCTTAGTGATGGAGATGGGCAGTTCAGGATTGTTCAAGAGCCCAACAAGCAACATGTGCTGACACCGGGAGAGGTCAGAGAAAGTGACCTCTGTGTATCCAGGAAAAGTAGCTACTAAACTTTGATTTGTGAGCTGCAGGTGCTTCTCCAGTGTCCTCCTTATAGCGGTGTTATTGTGAAACCTTGAAAAGAGGATTTCGCAGTACCGGGCCCAGTGAAAGGCTCGGCTCAGAGTTTGTTTATCCCACTGCTCCACCTCACAGCTGAGCGAAGCTACGGCCAGCAGCTCCGCCGTACTCCGTAAGTTTCTCAGCACCGCCTCCATGTGGCGCTATCTGCGTTCAAACTTAGCCAGAGAGAGAGAGAGAGAGAGAGAGAGCCTCACTGCGGAAGAAAGACCAAACTCAAACATAACTCGAAGTTAAGCGTCCTGAAACTACTGAAACGTTAACGAGCAGGTTGGCTAGTTTTAAATGACCAGCGCCAAGTCAACAAACTGTTAAACAAGACTTCCGGTGGCACGTTTATAAACATTATCTTTTTTATATAAAGCAATATGTTTAAAAACAAAAAAAAAATGAGTGTGCCTCATTTGTCAATGATTGGAAGAACACATAGTTGCGTTTACTCACTTGTTATTGCCAGTTTCTCACGTCGAGCTGCTTGTTCATGCCGCTTTCTCAACAGCGCATGCGCATTTCGAGGGAAAGATTTCCCCAACTTTCTTTCCCTTCAAAATAAAAGCCAAATAACATGTTTAGACCGTTTTGACCAGATACGCAGATTTGATCAAAGAAAATGACGAATTCGGATTTTCAATAGTTTACATTTTCAAGGTCATATATATATATATATATACAAAACATAATTTCGCTCCATTAAACAGTCGGTACTATTGTAAAAACTGTAAATCTAATTTGAAAAACAGGGCAAAATACTTTTATTCGTGCATTTTAACAACACAGCTTTTTATTATTCATATTTGTGATTTTATTGTCTGCCACTTCAAAACGTGTTTTATGGATTATAATGTACTTACATCAAAAAAAAAAAAGGTAATTCATATTTACACTCAACGTAAACATGGCTGTATCCCATACAGTCAGGCTCTGTCATCTTGATCAGATTACATGAGCACACAATCACACGCACACAAAAAGAAATCCACTAAATCAAGTGTGGCGACGGATTGAATTTCTCGAGCTGACCTGCTGAATTGGGTCCAGAAATGTCATAATGAGGCAAAACAAAGCAGAGAGAGGAGGGAGGCAGTGCCAGCAGGATCAAACTTCCCTCCCATCAGCATGCAGCGTGCTATGTGAATGTACATATGTGTGTGTGTGCGGTCAGATCCTTCTGCTAACGCGCTCTGAGAAAGACCTCCCCAGCCCACACGGGTTTAGTGTTTTGGAGACTAACCTGTGGGTCGATGCACAGCTCTGTAAAGCATGAAAACTGGGATCCAGCAGCAAACAGGACGAGAGAGAGGAAAGTGCACGACAAACGAGCTGAACCCTCAGGGTGAGCACAGATAACGAACCTTTATTTAAGTCTCAGTTAGACATTTCTGCTGCTTGACTGTCAGATTATTGTCAGATTAATACATTTTTAAGTCTCTCTGCATCTGTGCATTTCGGTTTTTGCATGCATATTGTGATTTTACTAACCCCTAGTTAGTGTCTCCAGGGTGATGTGATCTTAAAAACTATCTTTTGAAGCCTATTTGAAAGTTGTGTCTAAAAGTCAAACATCATTTTTGTTTCTCTCAAACATCATCCAATGCATATCATATGCACACAGAAGCAAATACTTCTCCCTTTCAGTCTTTGCATTGGTTTTAATTAGTGGCTGCTCTGCTGGATTTCAGTCATAAACTCATCAGGCGCCCTCCCTTGATCCTATTTCCAGAGTGGTTAATGTCTGTTGTGGCTGTTTTTATTTGTGACAGTTGTACAGGAGGAGACAGCTTTAAAGTGTTATTACAGTTGTAAAATGAATGGGCAGCCTGGTGTTTTAAGAGGCCAAAGCTACATCATGCAAAACCAACTAATTGCACTAAATTCAGACACTGCCCTGAAATATGTTTTTAAGTAGTCATGACATATTGTTTTTCTGAAGTGCAGATGGTAGCTACAACAGACACATTAGTTAATGATACGGTTTTACATTTTTTTTTAGTCAATCATAGTCAGCGAAGGATCACAGGTCTGGATTTAAGACACTCCATGAGTTGCACTAATAAACACAGGAGCTGTTTTATTGTAATGTGTAATATGATATTGTGAAAGTTTATAGGATATAATTCTAGTTAACTTTTTCTGCAGGACACTACAGAACATACAGCTGACGATTCAAAGTGATACTGAATACGTTGCCTCACAACACACACAGCACTTATTTGCAGTAGAATCATGGCTTCTCTTGTTTAAATGGACAAATCTGCCTCAAGATCACTTACTTACTGTTTTAGAGGAGAAAGGCAGAAAGGGGCTGTACGATTTTTGAGGACAGAGAAACTCTTGTTTTTTTGTTAATTGATGTGATTCAGCAATCGTGTTCCCATCCATATGCCTTTCCTGGAGCAATCTGCAGTCGACCGTGGCAGGTTATGACGGATTCACTGAAGTCACAGGCTTTCCTGACTGATAATATGTATAACCCTGTACATTTGAATATCTTGGTGCTGGACTGTTTATCTTTTTCTGATTCAACTTCCGGGCCCTCTTTCATAATCTGAGTGTGATTCTGAAAATAACACTGGATTAAGCCTAGCAGAGTGATGCTGCTGGCTGTGTTTTTGGCCTGCAGCTCAAAGGTCAGGCTACAGTCTGGTGAGAGGTAACAGATATATTTAACAACAGCTGGTTGTTTCTTTGGGACTCTTTCTATGGAGAAAAACAAGGTAAACATCAAGTAAGTTTGATGTTTTGTTTCAATCCTACTTAAGGGAATAACATTTAGAGAAACAGCATCAAGATTACAGTCCTTTACAAGTTGTGATTGTGATTTTTTATCACTGTCAGATGCTTACCTATATCTCCAGCAGGAAAACATGTTGAAAATCACTTTTTCATCTCATTTAGAGTGTTTCTTTTTATCGTGAATTTATCCCAAGAAGTGTTGCCAGAATTGTCTCAGACCTTTAAGGAAGTCCAGATGTTCGGACAGTGGCGATATATAAGATGTTAAGTATATAAGAAAACAATTTTTATATACTTAAGAACCTTTAATGTGCTTGTAACAGAAATGTGTTTTCATGTTGCCCATGTTTTTGCTTGCAGTGACTTGTCCTGAATAATTGACACTTTTTCTATGAGACATCAGAAGTTGTCCCAGTGCCCTTGTTCTGTCCGTCAGCCTTCACCACAGTGGACATGGGAATGTAGCACCTGTGTGCGAGTGCTGAGCTCCACAGTTTAGTTTGAGTACACAGCCAAGAGCTCTTGTCTTTAGGAAGATAACACGACCTTGGTTGGACATCAAGGTCCCGATGTCCAGCGTTGCACCTGAGTGTGATCGGGTTACAGACAGACTCCACAGAGACCTCCAAATGTTACTTAGCTTTAAAGGTCAGATTCCTCACATTGTGATACACTCACTCGGTATTCAGAGGAAAATTTCAGCGCTCTCAGACTATGAACTAATTGTTTCCCACAGCTTCACCTACTTGTTTGAACACATTCTTTTGCATGATTTGCGTCATACATCCTGATGCTTTTTTTTAAATTTACCAATTCATATTTATATTGAACTTAACAACAACGAAAGTTAGCAATTTACATAAAGCGCAGATCTAGACTGCACTGTTTGTTAGTATATTTAGATAGACCTAACATTGATCTCCCATGAATGAGCACTTGGTTACAGCAAAAAGCAAAAAGCAAAAAGCAAAAACGTCCTGTAAACAGGCAGAAACCTTGAGCAGAACAAGAATCGTTGGTGGACAGCCATCTGCCGAGAAAGTGAGATACAGAGAGGTTGAAAAAGGCCGACAAACAGACAGACAGACAGCCAGACAGGAAGTGAGATGTACATTTAGCAATGCAAATAAGAATGGGTCATAAGATAAGATTTTTTGAACCTCAAAATGTAGTTGTTACACAACCTCACAATAGAGGTAATCAAGTAATAAATTACAAAATTAAAATGAAAAAAAAAAATACCAACAATAATAAAATGAATGGATAATAATTATTTAAAACAACACTTCTGTATGTTTGCTTTTACACCTTCACTTGTAGAAAGAGCAAGACTTTTGAGCATATTTATCAGTGTCTGCATCATATACGTAAAGAGAAGTAAGATCACAGCCACCACTCTGTAAGCCTCTGTATATTAGCTGTTGATGTGTGATGTATCCTCTGCTCAGGCACATCTGGTGCCCAGTTGTTTTGTCAATTACTCAGTTGTCTTGAAAACAAATCCACTAATGGAGTGAGACTGGACCGAAAGATTTTCACGTTAAAGCTCGTACAGCGAGTCGTCTCATAAGTAGCTGTTGAGTATTTCTCTGAATATTGATGTCATGCAGTTCCTCTGTCAGGCTGAAACATGAGGTCCGCCTCAGTGTGGGCTGGACTGGATTGATTAAAACTGTATGATGGACTGAATCATAGAGTGCAGGGGGATCTGAAGAAGCTCTTTGTTCCGCTCTGCTGTTTGTTCAATAGAAGGCCTTCTGTGTTAAAAGTGTCTCTGGATGGAGAGAAACTGCCCTTTCAGTGGATCATGTCATCAGGTGGACTGTAAACTAAACCAGGATCTGGTGTGGAGGACAAAAAGCACTCAGATCTCCTTTCTCTTTTATCCTTTTCTCTTCCTGTTGCAAACATTTGGCCTGAACATCAGCTGTTATCAATGAAGACTGTCATCGTCTCGTCTCATCTTCAGTTTTATTGGCACCTGTATATCATTTTCTTCATTTAAATACAAATATAATGTCAACATACCCATATACAGTATTGACGAACATTATACACACATTGATATTAATACTTATGTCAGTACAAATACATGCTAAATACTATAACTTAGACATGCTAGAGGTGAAAGTAAGTGACTTGGGTCAGATATAAACAATTCATTGCAGATCTGATGTCCTGTTCTAAATTGGTCTTACTTTATTGTGTTGATTTCTATTATAATTATCTATATTTACAGTACAGACATCTAAAATTCACGTCTTGCAGCTTAAAATTGTGTTCTTGCCTTTGTCGTCTTGTGTTTAACTTGTCTTCCTCCTCTTCCCCCTCAGACTGTCAGTAGGTCAGTAGGGAACCATGTGCAGCTCCCTGAGCCCCAAACAGTGCAGCGGGCCCGGCCTCACAGACATGCAGCAGTATCACCAGTGGCTGACCAGCAGACATGAAGCCAGCCTGCTGCCCATGAAGGAAGACCTCGCCCTGTGGCTCAACAATATTCTCGGTAAGCAACATGACTCACCTGAAGATTTACTGCTGTCTTTGTCTCCTATACATATTCGCTTTTTATTCTGTCCATGTCCATGAACAGCTTTTAATGATTACTTCACATCATATTACAATATATTAAGTAATATACTCTAGGTTCAATTAAAATATAGATTTAATTTACTGTATAAAGATACAGTGGGTGTACGTCTTGATTAAGTGTTAGATTTTGTCTGTCATAAATAGTCATATTAGAATAATGCATTTTCACGATGCAGGTTTTTGAAATACTATATTTCATCTTAGTGCAATGATACATCTTGATTTGTGGTACATTATTAACTTTCCACATATATCATCAGCTTTGTCAACAAATGCAAGGTGCTGCTATGAATTATTCAAAACATTGTCCCAGAAATAGCCTAGCTTAAAAAAACAAAAAAAGTCCTAGTCTTCAACAGTAATTGAACAGGTACTGCTGATGTAAACATCTGCGCAAGGGGACTGGAATCAATCTGAAACCTCATTAGGATCTATTTTAAAGTCCCCAGCACTTGTGAACCAGATTCATTGGTCGCACACTCTGCCATAGGTTCACCCTTAAGTGAATAATGGGTGTCATTAAGAGTTCTCGAATAATGCACAGCCAGTGGGGGAGAATAAACAGCAGAGGGGAAAATCAGCAGAAGCTGAAGGTTTCTATTACCTAATAAATGACCCCGTGTAGTGTTCATACAGTGGTTCAGTGCAGCCACTAAACAAATGTATGACGCACTCTGAAGATCTGATTTGACATGAAACACTTAGATTTAATTGGATGTATGAAGAACATTAGATTAGAACATTATGCCAACATATGGTTTATCATGGGGTGAAAGTAGATTTGCTTACTCAAACAGTTATTAGTAATAAATAAGTTAAAGTTTTGGTTTTTTTCCTTAAAAAGCCTTTCAACTTTTCTTTTTAGCTTTAGCACCACTGACTAGAAATTAATGTTCTTTATAGCAAAACACAAATTCTCCAGATTCCTCCAGTAGATTAGGTTTTAATTTGATAATCAAGTAATTGTTCCCTGGATTACTGGAGGCAAAATGTTAGTTAACACTTTTTTGTTAAAGTCTGTTAAGTCTTTCAGAGGAAAGCAATCTACTTATGATTTTAATTCTGAGCATGCTTTCAAATTACGTGTAACTGGATTGTGTATATTTAGTATTATTATTCCACAGGACCCCTGCAGATTGCATTCAGTGCAACAATCATTTCTCTAATTTATTGGAAGCCAGTTCAATTCTTGTCAATGTCTTCCTCCTGTGCTACCGACTGAAAACAACTGGACTGTGTGTGTTTGCATCACAACCAGCTGATCTGGAAAGCTAGGAAAGCAAGAACAAATACAACTTTGGACGCGTGTTTCGGGAGCATCCATGTGTTTCCAGTGAATACACAGAATCAGGACATTTGTTTGACCATGTTCTTGTGTGTTCAAAAGAAAGAAGGCGATGACATTCTTACACATCCAGGTGGGAGGAGCAATGCGGTGTATCGATGATCGTGTGGGAGATGGATTCTTGGTCGTGCTGATGATGAGTCATGTTGTTGTTGTTGTGAGCAATTTATAGGACTCAGTATCAGAGTTTTGATGTTTCTCTGAAAGCCCCGAGGGAAGTTTAAATCTTCATTGAGCGAGAGAGAGTTTGAGAATATAAGACGGGAGCTCACTTACTATTTCTCAAGATTTCAATCTCTCTTTTCTGGGCTCAATTGCAACATTTGGAACTCATTAAACGTCAAATCCCCCAGACCCCTCCTCCTATAAGATGTAGAGAAGGGGTTTAAAAAAAATCTCCCCGGGTTCTTTCCACAGACACCCCCCTGCCACCACCTCCTCTTTCGCGATGATCTAACTGAGAAGGAATGGTCGTCTGGAAGTCAGTCAACTGGACACCACATGTTGATCACTAATCTATTTCAGCAACTGTGCAGGATAATGAGGCTTTATTGTGCACAGTCTGACGCCCCCTTTTCACGTTAACCTGTCTATGCCACCCTATGGTACACTACCAAAAAACCCCCTAAGTTTCCCAAAAATTCCTGTTGTAATATTTGCACATTTGGATTCTGTAGCACTGCTTAAACCCAGCAGCACAGAGCCAAGCTCAATCAGCCAAGCAGTCTCTGAAAGTCAATAACATTGCATCTGGAAATTGAATTTTATATCCTCTTACAGTATATATATATTCTAAAATGAGCATTTTTATGTTGGATTTATGGCTTGACTCCGCTTTCTTTATGTGTCCCTTGGTAAGATCTGGAAATCACCGCAGAGAGCTTCATGGATCGCTTGGACAACGGCTTCCTGTTGTGCCAGCTGGCTGAGACACTGCAGGAGAAGTTCAGACAGAGTAACGGAGCCTTGCTTTCACGTGGAAACAGCAAGGTACAGAAAAACCTGAGGATAACAGCAATCTGGCACGATAACAGTTACAGTTAAAACAATAACGAGGAAGCCACACCTTGGCTCAAAGTGTTCCTGGATCAACTTTGAGTTTACATGATTTGATAGATGATTGACATTCAGATGAGCGCCATCATTTTGGCAATTGTTAAGATCTTTTTGACAGACATCCATATTCTTTTTATCTTTTTAAACTATTCTCCCCTTAGATTTAAATAAAGAATATTAAATCCAGGTATGATAAGCAACATATTTTAACCTAAATCCCTGTTTGATATTAGTTTTTCTGAATGCCGTATAGATTATCCATTCAAATCCTTGTTTTTTACAGTCTTGGTACCAGAGTGCTTGGAATCAAAAGTTATATTGATTCTTACAGGAAACAGCTATATCCTCATTCGATTTCCATCAATAGGATCAATAAAAAGACCTCCAGTCTCAAAGGAATAGAGAGACACTGAAAACTCAATATATTATCCAACCTGTCCTGGATTTTACTTGTTGATTGTTTAGTCAGTTTAGCATGGACCATGAATCCCATTTTACAAGTAGCTCTACAATTTCAGAAACGTGTGCACAAAGAGAAGGATGGAAGATGGGGGTTGGGAGCTTTAGGCTTAAGAGGGCAAAAAAAAGAAAGGAAAAAAAAGGCAAAGTAAAAAGAAAATATAAGCTTGGTTAGGACACATTAGCTGATGGGGCCCCACGTCTCCTGAGAGAATTGGCAGGACTATGGAAAAAGTTAAACCCATGTGAGCTTTGAGTGAAGGCTTAATGATTTGATTTTTGAGTCCTGATTTTTTTCTACATTAAAGGGTAACCCTGCACATTGTTCTTTGTCTTTTAAATAAGCAATATGTGCTATAGTGTACAGTATTTAACAGGGTCGGTTCTCCTACACACTGACTGGGATGCAAATATTTAGATTGTGACAGCATCAGACCTACCACAACAAAGTTTGATTTCCTCCTCTTCTTCCTACTAAATCAAAAAAACACATATTTTAATGTTTTTTCCACAAATTCACCTTTCTTTCTTAAAGTCCAAGGAGATGCCATATTGAGAAAATAAGCATCGTCTAGACCAGACAATTTGCCTTCAGACATGATATATGTATTTATAAAGGGTAAAAAATTAAGATATAAATCTCTGGAGTCTATAGAACTGAAAAAGATAGATAGGCAGTTTATTGTCATTGTCTGCTAGAATACAACAAAAGTTTGTTTGACAGCAGTCCTGTACAATAGAATGGCAAATCTGGTCAAAAATAAATTGTGATAAATATTTATATTAAGATATAGCTGTAAGACAGATTAATTATCCTACAAACATTTTATTATGAATGATCTGTTCCTTTTTTCACATTGTGTGAAGTGGGCTGACATGTTTCTAACAGCAGGAAACACGATGAGGCCGGGGGTGTTCCTGTCCATATGGGAAGAGAGAGCCACTCTTAAGTTGGCTTTGTCTTAAGCAAGTTGTTGATTGTTGCATGGAGGCATCACTGTGGTGATGACGGCGGGTCTCCTGATCTCAGTGTGAGTGTGGCTGCACAGATGTGAGGAAAACTTGAGGTCAGTGGCTGTGGGACACTGAAATAGAGGAGCCTATTGATGGTGAAGAGCAGAGGAGTCGTGAGACAGATAGGAGCCAAAGAAGAAGAAAAACGATCGTAGTTTATCTTGAGCTGGAGGCTTTAAAATCAAACAAAGCTGCATTATCATTTTGTCAAAGCAATTTATTGCTATAATGTCTACTTAAAGCTCATGTTAAGTGCTTACAGTATAATGTTCTCCCTGTATGATACAGTGTACATCATCTTTTATCATTATAAGTCTATAATTCATGTTTAGAAAGTGGCTTCAGGAGCTTATCATTGTCCTCTGAGCTGTAATTGTTTTTGTGTTATCCTAGACCTCTTTAAAGAGAACTAATATCTTCTTTGAAGTCCTGTTATAAGTCCGTGTGGCACTTGAGGTTGGACTAAGTGATTCCATGCAGAGATAAATCCCTTTGTAGATGCTGTCTAACGCACATCTTCCCACGTATTTAGCTCAGTCAATATCAGCTTCAAATTCATTTAGATGATGTTACTTCCTGTGCTTAAAACTGCCATGTGCCTAGTTCCATACAACCAACTCATGAACTGCTATCATTTGTTGCCATACCAGGACTTTTGCAAGCTTAACATATTGAAAAATAGATTTATTTGTCCATTAAATGTGGTGCGTCAGCTAGCAAGCACTGTTAGCCTAACTTAACACAAGAATGAGAAACCAGCTCTGTCCAATTGTAAAGTCTGTCCACAGTGCCTCTAAAATTCACTCATACATGATGTATCTTCTTTTTTTATATAAATCTGTACAAGACTAAGGTGGTACAAAGAAAATGGGCTGTTTTTTTACGTCAACTGTGTCTAGGATTAGATAAATTGGAGGTTAAACCACCCATCTGATCCATCACCCTCCCAAAGCTCTACAGGTCTTTCTAGGTGGATTTTACAATGTATGGACAGAGATGTGATATCATGTTTCCCCTTGTTTTTGATAAGCTAGACTAACTTTCTGCTAACTAGCATGTAACTTCCCGCTAGAAAGCCAACAAGCATAATTTCCAGCGTGCTAAAATGTAATGTACATTAGTACTTAGTCGGATTTCCTAACTTTATTCTGCAGGTCTACATAAGTATTGACGTTTAGAATCTTCCTAAGAAAGAAAATAGTGTGACTTTTATGCCCTTTAAGTCCTTCTTTGCCCCTGGAATGGTAAACATCTCTTTGATGTATTCATAAAGGAGGCTTCTATGCACTCTTCTGAGATATGAAAAGGCCCCATATAATCAGCAAGCCACCGCAGAAATATTAACATGTCATTCTTACTGTTTAATCAAACGACGCTGGCAATGTAGCGGTCATTATCTCTCCAGGAATGCCAAGTAGCCTGAATAACAGAAGGATCACAGAAAGAAAAGTCAAAGAGAGAGAGCCTGGAAAGAAAAGAAAAATACCCACATAAGCCCACATGCCTTCAGCATGAGCTCATTGCACCTTTCTCATAGCACAGACGCAAATATCCTGCATAAAACCACAGCAAGGCACATAAATCTCCCCAAACCGACTGCGTGGGGGATGAATCCCAGAAGTGTGTAATTTGATCCCCAATCATAGGAGGCCTGGTAAAGTAGCCTAACCCGCCATCTCCAATATTGATCTGTGCGGAGAAGGTCCTTGATCCTGAGCTGAAACCAGAGCTTCGGGCAGATGGAGGAGAAATCAGTGTAGATCAAAAATGTGTGGCTCTGTGTTTTGATGGGAATTCAGGGAGTAGGGCTGTACAAGTCGCCGTGGTGGATGTTTGTTTTGTCTTTGTCTGATACTTACTGAAAGTCTTTAATATTATTTTTTAGTTCTATTCTGGAAAGAAAGTAAGGGACATTCTTAAATTTAGGTAAAGTATTGTGTCGTCTACATGAAGATCTCCCCTCTCTATGTCTCCAGCAGAATATTCCCCATCAGAGGATACCATGTCGCCAGAGCGCTCCCTCCGGCTCCTTTTTTGCTCGGGACAACACAGCCAACTTCCTGTCCTGGTGTCGTAAGGTTGGAGTTGGGGAGACATGTCTCTTTGAGTCAGAGGATTTAGGTGAGAGTTATCTCTTTTTATGTGATACATGAAAAGCTAAAATATACAGACGGAAAGGGAGGTCTATAAATAACCGCAGCACAGTAAGATTTGTCACCTAAGGCTCAGATTTCTATCACCTGTGAATGGCATTATCGTGCAGGTAGAGTGTCACGCAGGTTGGACTGCTACCCCTCCCCTCCCCTCCCCTCAGAGGACTAATATCACCAGGGTTTAGCCAGCTTATTTGACATCTGCAAAAAGCTCACAAGGCAGCAGTCTGCAGCAGGTAGCACTGTGGTGTACAGCAGCTCAGCGTGACATTAGGCAATGGGCATCTTCATGTACTGCGCTCATGCACAAAATGTCTGTAGTAACACAAAGGGAGTGCAGAAAGAAGGATGTGTAAGTGAGAAAGTAGGCCAACACTATGCAAATGTTTTCCCCAGCCCAGAGAAAGTACATTTAGCTCTCTTCCTCCTCAGCACACTCCGTTTGTTATCGACAGTATGTCTGAAATGTGGACTCAGATATGATCCTAACAGTCAGGCAAACAGTATGTGACACTGCCAAGGACAGAAATATGTAGAATGTAAAATATTTATGCATTCCTGTCATTTCTAAATGGAGCTTGGTTAACCATTGCTATGTAATGTAAACTACCGGTATGCAAATCATTTCTGAAAGCAGCATTACACACACAGCAACATTTAAACACCGCATGCAGTGCCGTACCTCAATATCTTTTTTGTAAAATGCAGTAACAGCTGACACTTGTCTTCTTTTTTCTTTCTCTTTCCTCTTTTTTTTTTTTTTTTTTCTGGGTGGATTTATCAGTTCATCAATAGGTGTAAGAGCAGCAGGTTTGCTATCGTGCAGTGGATATTTTGTCTTTAATGCATGGCGTGCTGTGTCACATGTTTCTTATACCCTCTCTCGCTGCCTCGTCACATTTCGGATGAGGTTAGATTGAGCAACTTAAACCTCACATGTACATTTCCACACTGAACCGTTCACATTTCCATTTGTTTTGCATAGGCGAGAACTTGTGAATTTGAATGCATGTAGTTTGTTTACTCATTTTTATGGTCCTCTCACAGTCACACAGCCACTCATCGCCGTCTTTCAGATACCATACATATACTGTAAATACCAAATGCTAAATCTTGATCTCTTCCTGTAGTTCTTCATAAGCAGCCACGAGAAGTGTGTCTCTGTCTGTTGGAGTTGGGAAGGATATCTACAAGGTATAAACTTACTTTTACATTTGGCTTTTCATATTTCAGTTAATCCAGGACTACTTTAAACTATTTTTAATACAATCTCTTAATTCTGCACTTTCAGAATAACAGTATTTTTGTTTCCTTGGTCCAGGTACAATGTGGAGCCTCCTGGACTTATACAACTGGAGAAAGAGATTGAACAAGAGGAAAAAGGTCCTCCACCACCCCCATCACCTGTATCCCCAGTTCAGCCGCTCTCGCCTTCCCCCTCCTCATCTCCTTCTCCGTCTCCGACTCCGACCAAAGTCAGCTGTAGCAAGAAAAGTACAGGGAAGCTGCTGGATGATGCTGTAAGCTAGCAGACGTTTACCTCTGGTTTTGCTTCTGATATTTGGGTGAAAAACATCTTGTAATATGTTTCTGTTTGTTTTGCAGGTAAGACACATTGCTGAAGACCCCCCGTGCAGATGTCCAAATAAATTCTGTGTGGAGAGACATTCACAGGGTCGATACCGTGTTGGAGAGAAGATGCTTTTTATTCGGGTGAGTTTCTTACAACCATGTTAGTTTAAGTATATTGAATGAGTGGTTAAAGTTAATTTATAAAGCGCCTTTCAAGAAGAGACGTCACAAAGTGCTTCACAATAAAATATAAAAAAAGGCAAAACACAGAGACAGAGACATAGTGAGTGACATGTTAGCAGTCTTTTATTACTGAGGGAAGCTCAGGTGCACTTAAATATATCTACTGCTTTATTTTTTAGGTTGATTCAGGGTATTTTACTCATTTTAATACCTCAGTTTGATGCTAGTATGACCTAACTATTTAAAGCAACCTATATCATATGATTTATTACATTGACAGTTATATAACTGGTGATTAAAAACAGAAATGGACCCGCCCTATGAGCACTTTTATGTTCAACTTTTAGTACATTTACCTAAATATACTTGAATGTTTTTTAGGAAGACTTTTACTTGTGATGTTGAGCTTCTTTGAAGATGTTCAAACTTCCTGCGATACTGTACTTCATCCACTGTTAGCTAGCTTTGCATGACATTATTAGAATAGGATCAAAAACAATGAAACTAACAGGCATGTGCTGCAAAGAAATTCGTTTTTGCAAAGGCTGGATAAATGTAGTTTGATAAAAAGTGTAATATTTTCCCCCTGACTTATAGTGAGGTATAGGCTTACAGTAAACCAAATCATTGGGTTACTGTTTTACAACAGGATGACAGACAGCAGAGAAAATCTCACAAAATGACACAGCTTTTATAGTTTTGCTGATGTATTTCACATATTTTCTATTAATTAATCATTTTGGGGGTGAAAACAATACCATCTCACATTGCAATAAAAACCCCTCTGCTCCCTCAGCATATGGCGCTGTGTTGATACTTGGGTTTGGCTTTGGGATGAAAGTAACTCATTGTGTGTGGAGAGCCCCCCTTTGCTGTGAGCTCTCATTTACTGGTGATGGTATTCTGACAATGTCTGTCTGCAGCCAAACACAATGTGGCTCGCAGGCTATAAAATGAAATCACTCCCACACATTTCCATATGGTCTGATGACAAAGTTATTACTAGGAAAATATTTCACTCAGCTGTATCCCCCAATTCTGCTGGTTGTATTCATTACATCTCACCATCACAATGAGTTTAATAGTCGAGGAAACGTTATTGGCTATGCCTGAGCGGCAGGACAAAGTGTACTAGAGAAAAAATAAAAGGAGGCTAACTCAGATTAGAGAAGAAGCATTGTTCCACCTGGGATCTGGTTCCTTGGCAACCCATAACTAGGATGAAGACCTCTAAGAATGTGTTTCAGGCCGCTTGTATGCTCAGGATGTAAAGACAATCAACTCTTGGATGTCCTCTGCTGTCAGCTAATTATACTGCAACTACTCATATCAAATCTGAACCAAGTCAAATCTCAGTCGCTGGAAGGTCTGGATGTGCAAAATGATCTTTGGATTTAAGTAAGGACAAAATGCCTCAATTTCTGTTAAAAAACAACATTCTCTGTTTTCCTTAATATTTATCATCACTCTGCATTTTTAAAGACTGAAGGCTTCGGTATTCAAGGTGTTGCTGAGCAACCAAGGACAAGTGGCTCACAGTGTTGATGTGATGCAATCTATTTAACAACATATGGTCTACACTGCCTTACATATCAAGTGAAGTACACTTTATTATTTTACCAATACAAATTACAAGATGTCCTTGAAAGGATAGATGCAATAATGGAGATTTACCTTATAGGACAGGTTTTTTTCTTTACATTCAATTCAAACTGTTTGTATTCCTATCACACTGGGAAAAGGAAGTGCTAATAGATTAGTACTACTACTGCTTATTCAAGCCACTGAGGCCAGATTTTGTTTACACAGTGAAATGAAGGAACATTCATTGTTTTTCTGTGTTTTTTGTTATTTATTTTATTCACTTTTTTGTCTAAAACACTCATTGTGTATCCTTCTCTGGACATGTATAGTCCTGTTATGGCTCTCAGTCGCAATCTTGTGAAACATACAAACAAAAAATGCCGAAGAGACCATGTTAAGGCTAAGACTCTGCTTTTGGTAAAAGATACTACTCTTCTTTTGTCTTTTTTTTTTCTCCATCAGTCGTAAAATGCACCATATTCTTATTAGGGGTTGTGTACCCAGTATTGTTGCCTGTAAATGAAATAACAGTATACTCAGAGAGACTGAAAATACAATGCTTAAAAAGGCTTGGAATGAAACAGAAATCCATTTCATGCAGAAATAAAACAGGAAACCTCATAAAAAAAACAAAAATGGAATGAAGACATACACTATATGTTGTACATACAAAGTGGACAGAATTACCAGTTTTGAAAGTACTCTTTTACCAGCTCCAGTTACTGAAAGTGAGAAATATCATATGATCATATGAAACCTCTATTCCTCTGTCTCTCAGCCAGCTCGCTCCACAGTCAAGATGCTTTAATTAAAATTCCTGGGATGGTTTTGCCCCCCAGCAGCTGTGAAAAGGCATGAATGCAGTAACAGCAAATCTGTGTCTGCACATGACAACAGAGTATAGTCTGGCCCACAATAATTTTCTCTACAGCCTGAGAGACTGACCTTCTCAGCTCCTGCAATAAATGAGGTGGTTGTAGCCTCAACAAGGGGGCAAAGTAACATCGCGGTGTTTGTGGGAAGTGCTGTCCGAGCTCACCCCCGGGCATCCGTTCTTCTCTGGGCTGTAGAGGAGGAAGAATGGGCCCCAGCAAGGGTCTTGTCCCAAAGCAGCGTGATTGAAACCTGTCGGCATCACACAGGTCCATTAAACCCACAGTTACCAAGCCTGAAGGCCTGGAGCTGGTGATTGGACGCATTGCCCCACTGGTGCCCCCTTTGATTGATTCTTGTAAGAGGCTTATAAATGTTGCATGTTTGGCTGCTGGGGGGCAGAAAGCCTCATAATGGCCCAGAGTAAGGTGACAATCTCATGAGATAGCCTTTTTATCAAGCTATTTAGTTTGGTATTTGTCAGAAACATCCTTCTACTGTTTGTGTTTTTAAAGACAGATATATCCTCTAACAACGTTTTTATTTGATATTTCTTCTGACTTCTCTTTCAAACGGTTCGCTTTAGTTGAGGTGTAATGATGTGTTAATGAAGCCTGGGTTGTGATGACACTCCTTTATGAGGCAGACATGCTCTATGTGCTCACTCCTAGATATATGAATGTCTTGAGCTTCCAATACACAACAGCTTTTTTTCTCCATCTCCCTTTTCTAATGGCCAATGTTGCCATGGTACCCAACCTTGAGAATGTGCTCTGATGCTGCAGGTGGCGTCCTTTTGAAGCAAAAACAGCACATTGAACAATGAATAAACACTGTGTAAAATGCCTTGGGTAAGCAGAATGTATGGTGTAAGTTTAAGGATTAAATTGCGAATAATACTGAATGTTATAGCAATGCTAGCAACCTAATCAAGACATGTCAATGTCAGAGTGTTGGCCGGTAAATAGACCAGTGCATTTACCATCTTGGTCCAAATTAAAATATCTAAAAAAAACTATATGATGGACTGTCATGAAATTTTGTACAGGCTGACAAGGTCCAAAGAGGGTGCACCTGAATGACTTTCTGACTTTTACTGAAGCACCAGCAGCAGCTTGACATTATTGTTTTCTTATTGTTGTGAAATCTTGTTAAATATTTGATGGATTGCAACCTTTAGAACAGAGTGTCTTGGTGCTCAGAGGACGAATCGTTATGATGACCCTCTGACTTCTCTCTTAGCTTAAAAAACCAGCAGGTCAGACGTTTCATTTAGTCAGTGAAATATCTTGAATTTCTATGGAACTAAGTTCTGACATTCATGTTCTCTTTAGGCTAAAAAGCGACATCACAAAGTGCTTTGAATGTAGTGCAATGGCCAGGACAAAATTTAAGCGTCAAATATTTTGACCTGAAAAATCACATCAGCATTCACTTATTAGCATAATGCTCATAACATAACACCTGGTTAACGTTAGCTTCTTAGCACCCAGACTATAAATGTGCTAACACCCTGATATTAACAATTAGCTCAAAGCATTGCTGTGCTCACACAGCCACCTGCATGTATGTAGACTCTTGTTTGGTATGTCATTCCAAAAGTCAAAGAGTGAGATGAATCAATAATTCTGTGTTTGGCCCCAGCTTCTACAACCCTACATTAGTCTGATTAGAGATAGATCCTCTCCAGGGACATCAACCAGTTCATCAATCTGCTCATACATCAAAGCCAAATTAAACTGTTCATCCGACTACTGCCTGAGAAAGAAAGCTTTAATCAGGGAAATTACAATAGTCCTATAGAAAGTTGGGCTCAAATGAACCATTTAAAGCTCCTATGTTGACACAGAGACATCAGAAGTGACACTATAATCCTGTTTCTCTCTGCAGATGCTGCACAACAAGCATGTGATGGTGCGTGTAGGTGGAGGCTGGGAGACCTTTGAGAGCTACCTGCTGAAACACGACCCGTGCCGCATGCTCCAAATCTCCCGAGTGGAGGGCAAGACTTCCCCTGTGAGCAGCAGCAAGTCCCCCAATATTAAAGACCTCACCCCTGACAGCTACCTGGTAGTGGCAGCACACTACCGCAGCAAAAAGTGAAGACAAGAGACTGCACGGTGCCAGTGATAAAAGGACACAGAGGAGGACTTCTTGCCATTGTGTACTACCAAATGGATGTAGCTACAAAACAAAACCCTGTTGTTCAACATATCATATTATAGCTACAGGTGCAAGAGCGATTATGAAAAGCAGAGAAAGAGTCAATTCTGTCACGTGTTTGAGTGCGGAATCACACTAGTATGCCCATAAGTTGTATTTTATGAAGTTTTATACATCTGTAAACAGCTTTGAAATATGCCTACTGTATAATGTGTTAAGTGGGTAAAAGATGTACAGTAAAGCTGTACATTTTCTTGACTTTTTTTCAGTCACTACTTGTATTTTAAGCAATATATCACTTTTAGTAGGTCCTCTCCTTGATTTATTCCAAATACTCCATTCAAGTTGTCGATCGGGCCGGCATTAACAGATCGTATCGGACATATTAGAAAATGAACTTTTCTGGAACTTATCGGAGTAGGTTTTCTTTGGAAAATGTGTGTCAAGCTAGTTGACATTTTTGGCTATAGCATTGTCTTGCCCCATTGTTTTTATTTTCCTGTTTGGTCTCACATTGGTAAACTTCATATCTTTATTAAATGGATGGCTCTCGTTAGCATCGCACTAAGTCAAAGCAATTTCAACAGAAACATCATTCTTGGATCACTGCCAAATCTAAGAAACCAAAAATGTGTCGTAAAGAGAATGGACTTTATGTCATGTGTTCTTTATTGGGCTGAGAAAATGAAGATTGTATTCATGTTTGATAACCATTCTATGCAATTAAAATTGTACTATAACTTTTTTTTTTAGTAATTTTGCAGATAGGATGGTGTCTGTTTTATACAATTTTTATTTTAGTAACATACTGTAGATGATCACCTGTCCAAGATGCAGTATGTACATAAACACATTGATTTATGCTTCATATTAACATGAGATTCATATATCGCTCTGTGATTATGTTGTATGGTACTGACCTTTAGAGATTGAGATCATTGCAGCTTCATAAATACTATTAGTCCGATAATTGGTTTCTCACAATTTGTCATTGTCTATGCAGAGTAACCCAAAGAATTGTTTGTGATGTACATGAGTGCAATGTCTGTTCAAGATGTAAGTTTTCAATAAATTGTCAAATCTTTCAACTTAGCTACTTGAAATAGTTTTTTCATAACTTTGAAAATGTGTGAGCTTTGAGATTAAAACTTTTTTCATCTATGCAAGACTGAAAAATATTTGAAATATTTAGCCGCACAGATCAGAAATTAACATGGAACAGTATATCTCATGTCCTACTGATTATCTAAACAAACATCCCATCTGGTCTTGACTCGTTTCTAAGATGTAGCAGATGTTTTCATAAAAGCCAAACAAGAGTAGCAGAAATGTGATTTATTGTAGTAAATAACATTGGCTGAATTTTCAGTTTTTACAAAATGTTTAAAGCACCGGAAGCATTAAGGATCAAGTGAAGGCTGTAGAAACACACTCATTTAATCTACTTCACTACATATGCAGTACAAACTTTACTTATTCTCCTCCTTTTTTTTTTCTCTCTTTCTGTTTCCATTGTGTTTTACATAAAACTCCTGTTACATCCGAGTGTGAGCAGACATAGTTGCTGTCCTCCAAATGCTGACAAACAGTGCAAATAGATCTCTAACAACAGCTTCTGTTTGTCATATGGCATCTCATAAACACATTTCATAACTTATTTAAATTAAGCAGGCTTGAGTATGTGTTTTGCAAACATTGCAACAAACTCAAATTGTGCAGAAAAATAATAATAAGGACCTTTTAAAGCGGCAAAGACAAAGAGCAGTCCAAAGTGCAAAGTCCAGGTGCACAAGGTCAATGATATCCTGTTTGCACCGGTCTCTGTGTTGCCAACAATCAGGGCCTAAACAATGTGGAAGAATAAAAAGTCAAAAGGCTGCTTATTACTGTGAACTAATCCTACAGTAAACCCACTTTAGGTTCTTTGTAAACATAAACTGTGTGTGAATGTGAAATGTGTTGTATGCATAACAGACTGTGGATATTGTTATCAAATGTGGTGACAATATGTTAGTGTTGAGAAAAGCTTAGTTTAAATGAGGATATCACTCACAGGACTTTATAATAATAAAATTCATGTTACATAGTCTTAGTCGCCGTAAGACTGTTTTATCTTAACCCAATTCAAATCATACAGTAGGAAGTGTGTTTGTTTGAATGTTTCTGTGTCATCCCTGACTTGTCCTAAGGTTCAAAACCCATTGTGTAACTTGGCAACGAGTGGGAGTGCCCTGCTGTAGGCCTACTGTCTGTAATCACTTCAGATTGTTCGGCATGAAACATGACAACCGTCATAACATCATTAAATCGTCAAAGAAATGAAATAAAATCAAATGTGAACAGCAGATCAAACATCTCTCAGGTCATCTTGCAGCAATACTTCATGTTGTTTTGTACTTCAGAGTCAAGACTTCAGCTTTTACCATCTCCATTTTCAGCCCACCTGCCACTATGAAGAAGAGAGGGAAAAAAACCATCAGAACAATCTGCAGTCTTTAGGACAGAATGCCTGCTGTGGATGAACAATTTAACATTGTAATATTTTTGGATGTACATGTACAATATTACAATTTTAGTTCACATCAGAGAAACCCTTTTAAAATATCTTAACAGAAAGATACCTCACACAGCTATTTCAAAAGAATAAAGTGTAGACTCCCTTACACCATCTAACTTTCAAACATACATTTGTTTGCAACGTCACACTTCTGATACCTCTATGTGTCCTTAAGACAAACACTGAACCCAAACTTCTGCACAGCGCCGTGTGAATGAGTATGACTGTTGGGCACGTTATGTAGCAGCTTCTGCCATCAGTGTGTGAATGTGGTGTGAACGTGACATGTGGTGTTAAAGTGCTTCGAGTGGTCACAAGACTAGAAGTGCTTTGAAAGTCTATTAACATCTTAAATAGGAAGTGGCTACAAGGCCTGCCACCAATTAACTGCATGACATGGATAGATAATGACTAATTGACAGTAAACATACATACATTAATAATATGATGTTGTCCACCATAATCAAGAATAAAAGTCCCCACAAATCCCCCTCGATTAAAGAGTCACAAAATGCACGGCTATGACTGGGGATCAGTGGATGAACATGACCTAAAAATAGACAAATCTGTAAACTGTAAGTGTAACTTTAAGGTATGTGTACTCTCAGTCAGGAAACTAATATTTTTTATTTACTAATGAATGTATTGATTCAGATCTGACAACATGATGCTGATTGGTTTAAGGCTCAGTTTGGAGAACTAGCATTAGTGTAGAAGGAGGCGTAGTCGTAACCAGCTCATCTTGTATATTAATGTTGGAAAATCTCTTTCATTAAAACCATTAATGATGCTATACAGTAATTACTCCCCCAAATCACACTACTTCTATAGAAACAAAAAAACTAACCTTCAACCCACCGCCACCAGAAACAGAGGTGGTCATCTCCTGCTTCTCAATTTCTTCTTGCTTTTTCCTTTTCCTCTCGACTGCTTCTGGGTTTTTAACACCCCTGTATGTTGTCTGAAAAAAGAGAGGACTATGATTGAGTACTAAACAGTTAATGCTTAAAAAAGGGGTTATTTAAGTGGTATTAAATACATGCATGTTTTCAAAACCATAATCAATTACCGGTACTTATCAGAACATTTTCAAAAGCAGAAAGGTTTGTTGAATCACAACTGGGAAAAGGCATCCAACTCCCAAATATTGCAATTCAGATAAAGGATGAAGCAGCTGAATGGTGACTGTGGGTTAGGGGCTCAAAGCTCTCATCTGCAGTAGTAAGGTGTGAATGGTAACGTGTCAGGGGATTTCAGGATGAAGGAAACAGTGACTTGGGGCAGACAGATGTGGTAGTTGAGACAAATCCAGAAGGAGGAGGAGTTTTCATTCTGGTCCATGTATACTTACCTTAATGCTACTTTGGCATGGCTCTTACGGGTTTTCAAGTGGATTTTCTGTACAATAAAAAATTACTCACCACACTGTCAAGTGCCTTGAATGGGGTGTATCTAATAGGGGGCAATTTTGTTTTCTAAATTACACCTAGCCAAAGCTAATGCATGTTGACCATCCCTTTATAACAAGAGTATAACCTTACATTACAAACTACATCCTATAAGAAATATTGCTTTCAAGATGATAGCTAGTTTAGCTTGTAAAATAATGCATTAGTTTCAGATACGTGTTCCAAATAATCTCGTAATCTTGTAAACTGTGGTGACAGTATATTAGTGTGGAAGCCCATTTCCGCCAGTAAAAAAAAATAAAAATGAAAATAATAAAGTCTCATAATTTCAATCTCATTATTTTGACTTCTCATTATTATGACTTTATAGCTCATTATTTCGACTTTATATCTCATAATTTTGACTTTATATCTCCTTATTATGACTTTATATCTCATAATTTCTACTTTATAGCGCATAATTATGACTTTATATCTCATTATTATGACTTTATATCTCATAATTTCGACTTTATATCTCATTATTATGACTTTATATCTCATAATTTCTACTTTATAGCGCATAATTATGACTTTATATCTCCTTATTATGACTTTATATCTCATAATTTCTACTTTATAGCGCATAATTATGACTTTATATCTCATTATTATGACTTTATAGCTCATAATTTCGACTTTATATCTCATTATTATGACTTTATATCTCATAATTTCAACTTTTTATCTCATAATTTCGACTTTATATCTCATAATTTCAACTTTTTATCTCAATTTTGACTTTTTATCTCATAATTTCGACTTTATATCTCATAATTTTGACTTTATATCTCATTATTATGACTTTATATCTCATTATTATGACTTTATAGCTCATAATTTCAACTTTTTATCTCATTATTATGACTTTATATCTCATAATTTCAACTTTTTATCTCATAATTTCAACTTTTTATCTCATTATTATGATTTTATATCTCATTATGACTTTATATCTCATAATTTCTATTTTATATCTCATAATTATGACTTTATATCTCATAATTTCTACTTTATATCTCATAATTATGACTTTATAGCTCATAATTTCAACTTTTTATCTCATTATTATGATTTTATATCTCATTATGACTTTATATCTCATAATTTCTATTTTATATCTCATAATTATGACTTTATATCTCATAATTTCTACTTTATATCTCATAATTTCGACTTTATATCTCATAATTTCAACTTTTTATCTCATTATTTCGACTTTATTATTTTCATTTTTATTTTTTTAACTGGCGGAAATGGGCTTCCATAAATTCGCCCCTGACAAAACAGGGTAGCAGTAACTTACCTCTTTTTGTCTCTTCTCGGCGGCCTCGGCTAATTGTCGCCTTCTTGTATCCTGAAACAAAGAAATACTTTTAAAACTAGCGACAAAAAAACCAAACAAAAAAAAAAACCAGACCGTGTTCACCAAACGTAAACAGTGTGGGGCCTGGAGCATACTGAACATGTCTGAGGTTACTAAACACAGTCAACGCCCCTAATAAGGCCTATTGCTGCCCTGCAGATCAAAATCGAGTAGCGTTATGTTTTAAATAAATGTTAAAAGTTTCACAAAACCCACAATATCTAGTTACGTGGCTGCACATTTTAGTAAATTAACTTACAGGATCTGGAGTGGCAACAACGTCGTCCGCTGCTCCACCAAGGCACGGCAGGCACATCCCCATACTTTACGTGGTTATTCAGGCGATAAACGCAACTGTGAAGTAAAGTTTACGGTGTCTTGGATTAGCTCAATAAACCAACTTTCTTACCAAGTGGTAAATTAACCCAGTCGGATTTGCTGGGCTGATAATTAAGGCAACAGAAGCAGCAGCTTCTTCTCCCGGCTGCTGCTGTCAGGTCGCCTGGCATAACGTTACCGTTAGCTGACGGTAACGATAGCTTTCTGGCTAACAGATAACTTCAAACTACAACTATTACATCCAGTTAAACTTCAGAGAAACCTCAGTAACTTATGCCCCCGCAACTCTATCATTTAATCTACACGACAGGTTGTCAATATATGCGTAACACTTCCGACACCTAACCAAATATCTTCTCTCTTTAGTTTGTTTTGGTCAAAT